GACAAGGTTAAAGAATATTTTAGTGTGTATTTCCAGTGTAGCTTTTAAAAATATTTTCTATTGGATATTTTCTCTACATGTTTTTCTAGAGTAACTCCATCTCAGCCATACCCAGTAGACAGTGATACTGTCATCAACCCCAGCACAGAGGCAAATGCACCACAAGACACTGAGAGCCAAACTCAAAAGTGACTGCACCAAGCAGCATGTGGACAATGGAGTTGGGGAGCCCAGATTTGCAGCCTGCTGCATAGTGTCACTTCACAAAGACAAAGGATTAAAACAGAAACCTTACTCTCTCTTTATAGGAGTGGAAAATGAAAATATGAAAATTAAGTGATTTAAGGTTAAAAATTAGGCTATGGAATATAACTGGAGACCATTCACCTTTAAACTAATTTAATACCTAAACAAAAAAGTGTCAGGTATTTAATTTATCTAAATGTTATGATTTGGTCAGATAATATACCTGTTCATATGTAACCTTAAAAAATAAGAAAAAAAGCTATCTGCATCATTTCCAGTTACCTGAATTCCAGAGGATCTTGGCTTCCTGACTGAAGTCTAGGTACTCAGCAAGCAAGTTTTGCTTCGGTGCAAAAAGTATGATGCATCCTGCATATGAGGAGTTTTTCAGCTTTGCAGGTGGGTTGTGTTTATAAAAGCTGCATTTCCAGACACGCTGATCACTCATGAATAATTCTGTCTTTGAAGGTCTGTTGCTTGGATAATGAATATTCTTCTCAGATGTTCTTATGTAGCTGCATTGGCATGAATATGAGGTTTCTGCTTCTACTTCACTTGCTTCTGCTTATTTCCCAGTTGAAATCAAGACAAATTAATTCTTGGGTTCGCCTCATCCATTTTTGTAGAAGTGCACTATACATGAGTTTGGCTTCAAACCTGTGTAAGTAAGTGCCTGAAGAGATGATATTCTAGACCGTTTCAGGTAATTATAAAATTGTACCGTTAGTGTGCAATAGGATTCTTTTTACTAATTTAAAACATGAAAATGGAAGTGCTGGTATTCGCTTAAATACTTATGCAAGATTTCAAAGGGAAAAGGGGAAAAAGAGGAAAGATATGAGATATGAAACAGAGGAGCTAAGTGTTAGGATAGAAATGTTCAAAAAAAGAAAAACATAGCTACAGCATCATAAGTTCATAAGCATCATAGGGAGATTTTCAAAGAATATCAAAAGAAAAGTGAGTAAGAAATGTATTTGGGCACAAATTGAAATACAGGAAATCCTAGTTGGAGATTTTAAAAAAACCCAACATATGGTAAAGGTGATTGAATACTGGAAGATGTTACCCAGAGATGTCATGGAGTTTCCCTCCTTGAGGGTGGTCAAAACAAGACTAGACACGGCTCTGAGCAGCCTGCTGTAGCTGAACCTCCATTCAGCAAGATACTGGGCTAGATGATCTCCAGAGGCGTAAAACTGCAAGCTGGGTTTAAATGACATTGAATCAAGTCTTTAATACAAATAAGAAAGAAAAAAGATATAATGGAAGGCTCCCTCACTTTGGAAAACAATCTTTTCTGGTCTCATACTGTGTAATGTAAATGATACAGCCATGATTGTAAAGTATTTGATGTTACTTTTGATGGTAACTTTAATAGCTAAACTACGATAGCTCCATAATACATAGGAGGCTTTGAAAGACACGTATTTAAGAATCAATTCAATCCAACTAAATGCTCCACTTATTCCCCTTATCAAGCAATTAATTTTCTCTACAGCCTGTGTTACTATGGGTTTTCTGTCTGCAAAAACACACCTTCTGCCCTGTATTCCGCTGCAATAGAAACAAAACACAAAGTGGGGAGACAGCATTGAACTGAACATCACAGACTATTTTTTCTGGCTATCCAAGAATTCAAATTTTTTCATTGCTTTTTGATAAAGGTGCTGCTTCAGAAAGTTTATAACTTGTTCAGTTTTGAGAAAACACCCATTTGTTCCAGAGTCCTCTTTCTTTTTAAAAAATAACTGTGCTCAACCACTGAAAATGTAAATTTTCAGTCTTTTGAAATGTCACATTAAACAACTCCCAGTGTAGAGAAAAAATAAACACAACCTAGTATGTCTTTCCAATTGCCCATATATATTATGCATCTCATACATTGCATACACTTTTAAAACAAATACAGCAAATCTCCAAACTTGCATGTCAAGTTACAAAGTAGTCAAAAGGTTTTTTTCTTTATCTCTTGAGGTGATGTTGAAATACTGATATGGAATATTAATCAATCAGTAATAGAAAAACACTAACATAATTAGCAGCACAAAAGCTGATGTTTAAAAACAATCACCTCTCAACTTACCAGAAATATTTGTTACGTTGTTCACGTTAGGTTTATTTGGGGCTACTAGCCAATAGTAATGCTATTTCTTTAACACTTAACAGCATTCTGCTTTTAAAAAGATAATTACTTTTAAGAAATATACCACCTAAATAAATCTATTATTGGAAAGAACAGGCAGACTATAATAATGGAATAGCAAGTTAGTCTGGCTGAATATGTATAATCTATCCGTTGTAAATGTTGAGTTTGCCACTTACATTCGTCAGTAATCTTGTCAATTTAGTGGGACTCCAGAAGTTAGCCTGCTGCATATTTCATTGGCAAAAAGGAAAAATGTCACATATAAGACTAAGCAGCCAAGTTTCAGCAGGATATAGAACACTGCTGCAGATCTTGAAAAAACTGCAGGGCTGTCTGCAAAATTGGAGTGTGCCAGGTGTTTCTGAGTTCACAGATTTTATCTCGTGGTGAAGAGATGAATTTATGAAAAATGGTGAAAATAGGAATGCAAGTATCAGTTCACACACAATGTGGAAAAACAGCAAACACATAATAGATGGAACATGAAAGCAAGTTTAGCATTTTTAGGACTAAATAAACAAAGAAAACTTTTCTGCATGGTTTTATACACAAATAAATTCCTTTCTCCTGGTTCCAACCATAAAAGAGGGTAAACCTAAAATATTACAGCTATGAGAGATGTATATTTGTCTATATTCAGCATGTATGCATTGACAAATGAGAATTCTTTTCTCGGTGATGCCAGCATAAAACATGAGTAATTTAGAAGCCCAGGTTAATACTGTTAGCCAAGATCAGGATTTCTTCTACAGAGTGCACCTATGATAAAGCATTTGTACTTGACTGCAGTCAGTGAATGAGACAGAACATTCACAAATACTTGTGTAAAGAAAACCTTTATAACCACTTACTTTACTTTTTCCAGTAAGTCTTAAAGGGTATGCAAACTTGAGCTTCACCTATTAGGAGAACCAGTAAAAATTCTTTCTGGACTCTGCTAAAATTCATCAATGTCTGCATGGAGAAGGAAGTCAATATGCTACTGTGTCTAATACCCCAGCAAAAACTACATCAGCTTTATTATTGTCCCTCAAAGAATAGATACAATTCTATAAATGCCTTTAATTGATGGTGTGCCAACCAGACCTTTCTGTTTCTGATGTGCAACAGAAAATTAAATATATAAAAATGTCATAACGCTGCTTATTTTGTATTGCTATGGCCTTAAAAACCTGCATTCATTTTGGGGGGCAATTATTAAATTAATTTGCTATCCATACTGAAGAAAGCTCTGTGCTTATATTGCCTGGTATGGTGGGGTTTTTAACAAAAGCAAATTATATTTTTGCAAAGACAGTACTGCATACTTTGCTCTCTCTTTAGCTATTAATAACTCAAACTAATGCTAAGTTAATTTAGTGCTGATGGGAAATAATGGAGATAACATATGGACCTGCAGTGCATCAACCTAATGTAACGACCCTTCCCATTTGCTGTCTGTTCATTATCAATTACCACACGAAAATAAGGAATAGGTAGCCATTAGTCATTCTATGAATTACAGTTAAATAGAGTTTAATTTCTTAACTGCTAAACGTTTGTAACATGTTCTTTCCCAGCTATTTATTTTCATTTGATAAAAATAGCTATTTTATATATTCTGCTAGTTATACTGTTTATAGCAATGTTTGAGCAATAAACAGTGTCACTGCAGAAAACTAATAATGCTTGTTATCCATTTTTTTCAAATAAGTTTGGTGTTTCAGGCTCTGTCACGTAAACTGTATATTAGTTGGATTCTTACAGTACAGTATCTTTAGATAGTGCATCCTATTTAAAAATTACTTCTTAGAAGTGGCACAGTATTTCTTTTTATTCCTTTTTTCAGTATACAGTTCCTGAAGATAGGCATTTAAACCTGTGGTCCAATACACTTGAAAAAATAAACACCTGCAAACCCGATCTTCCAGATACAATGAGCTAAACATGGCCTTCACACTTAGCTCATCATTATACATGAGCTAGATTGGAAAAAGAACTAAGTAGAAAAAGAGTATAAACTCTGTAATGCTTATTTAAAACTTAACAATTTTCATGGGGTATGCTCTGCAGATGCAAAACAAATACGATTTTAAACAGGATTCTGTTAGGGAATACAAACTTAAAGTTATTAGTGAATGACAATGACAAGGAATGCGTTCAGCCAACCACTAGTAATTCTTGACAGTCTTAGAAAAATAGAGAAGATGAGTGCCATAAAAAGTACTGTGGTATTTTATGTTGCTGTTTGTTTTCTTCAGGCAAGAGCAAAACATGATGTCTTTAAGAGTGGAACAGGTGACTGACCCAAGTGGAATTTTACATTTTTGGGGAAGACGTTACTGACTGGTCGGTAGTGATACTATAATTCACCTTGAAAGAAACTTTATAGGATGTTTTTGCATTTGAGGCTACATTGCAACATTCATGACCTCTCACTGCTAGATGTACGCAGTGAGTTGTTCGCTATAATCCTCTTAACCAACAACTGAATCAACACGTAGATGAAAACTACAATATAGACAGGCTCCTTACACCTCCATATCGAGAGGAGCTGAGGTCTATCAGCGAAGGACTAAGCATGCAAAATACTTCTCCTTTTTTTTTTTTTTATTTTCTTCTTGTGATTTAAATAGTTGTCTCTAGTGCTATTAACCTAGCATATATTATAAAGATCTTAAAAATGAAGTAGTCCTAAGTGGTATGATCTACAACATTTTACCAATATGCTGATGAATCATTATTTCTTAAAAACAAGTGTATACTATTCATGTAACCAAAAGAAGCTGTAAACATTTTAAAAATATTTATTAATATTACCATGTTAAAATACATAAGAGCTATTGCAAGAGTGCATATGCCTCAGCCATTAGCACTTTGTTGCTCCATATTTCAAACTGGTGTCACACCGAAGACAGTGAATTCCATTACTAGGATTGTATGATCCTGGGCTGCATGCAACTATAGACACAAACAAAAAAGAAAACAAAACAAGGCAAAGATGTGGAATTTAAGTGATATTCATAAAAAAATATTTACATTTGAAATGTTTAGAATGCATCTTTATCTATCTGAAAAAAAGATCCAGCATTCTGCTTGCTGATGATGAAAGAATTGTATATATTTTATACATCATCTATTTATTACACCATATTTTTCTCTTCATTACTTTTCACTCCATCTACTTGCAGGGGATATGTTCATTAATTACATTTTTATATGGCCTATATCCAATAATGTTTTTAATAAACTGCTATAGTGTTTAGATCCTATCTTAACAGGGTATTTTACATACTTGACATTTCACACCTCAGAAACTGAAACGCACAGATCTTAATTTGTTCTTTTATCCTATAAGCTAATTAGCATTTTGCACTCTACTGATTTTTATTTCAGAATTCTCTTCAATAATGTATTTACTTTTGAACTTTCAAGTTACTATGTTTCCCTAATATAAATAATCAGCATACTGTGAGAAGAAAACCAAATTAGAACCAACTATCCAGTATCTAGTCTACTAAAAATACCACAGAAATCAAGCAATGCAGAGTAATAATACAGGACAAAAAATATTTCATAAAGCTAGTACAGGGTCTCCAGAGAAGCCTTAAGAAACATACGATGTTTTTTACTGTATTAAACTCACAGCTACCTCTGATTTAAAAAACAAACCTAAACCAAAAAAATAGATTTATAAAAGCAGAATAATTATATTTAGAATTTTTTACAATGTGAAAGTGACTCTGTTGCCGATTTTAAGTAAAATGTAGCTGTTACCAAAATGTTTAATCAACTATCCTGGAATAATGTGCTTTGTTTAACATAAAACTGGGCTTTAAAAGCAGAAAAACAATAAAATTAAGGTAAAATCATACGAAATAATTTCAAAGATGTTTTTACTCATCAATTCTGTTTATTCAAGACTGCTTGAATATTACTGAGCAGTAACTCCCTGTCTTTAAGTCATTGCCTCTACAGAATCACACAGCAAAGGGTTCTGCCTGAGACTTAGCTGCTACCTGATGAACAAAATTTTGATGTTTTACCACTAATCTTTTCTGCCAGGAAGATTTCCCTAAAGTTAGATACATTGCAAAGTGACTAATCAGGTTAACATTTTTAACTAAAATTCAGAAAGAGATTTAGACTAGAAAATGGGAGTAGAGGGTGAGACAATAGATCAATATTTAATACTATTTTAATATAAAATCAGAGGGGGGAAAATGAGGATATCATAGGATATAAAAGAACGTGAGAATGAAGCATGGGGAAGAAAATGAAGTTCTAATACAGGAGATCTAGATTGGTAGATGATGCAGTAAGTGAAAGGGTTATGCTGAGTGCACAAATTGTGCGATGGGTGTGAAAGAAATGATGCATTGTTTACAGAGCACTGCGCAACAGCACTTCACCAGCATGAAGGAACCACAACCACTAGAACACCACATGAAACTAGATATTCTAAAAATAATAGAGGAAAGAGAGCAGGTGTAAATGAACATCCAGCTATTTTGCTGTATGAGAAGTAAAAATACAGTAGGTTTGTTTATGAATCCTGTAGAGGATATGCAGGTTTTTTATTTCTCCATGTTCTTGGGCCGACTCCAGAACCTTTCCAATTCTGTCATATCCTTATCAAGAGCCGGAGTCTAGAAACAGTTGCACTACTCAAAGTCAAATATACTTAATTAGAAAGCCTGAGTAACATTGGTTTCCATGGTCCAGAACAGAACTGGCCCCTGAAAGGGTAACACAGATGACAGCGTGAAATTTGCAATGTATCTGTGGTCATACCCTATGACTGGTGCTAACCCATGACAGGTGAGAAATGTAGTATAAGCTTTTCAGAAAAGGAAAAAAGAATCCAAGAAACCACAGAACAGTGATTAGTGACTTCTATACTATGTAAAGATTGCATAAATGAACACAGAAACACATGCACGTAAGCAGAAAGTAATACAAGTTGATGTTGTTTTACTATGAAGTTAAACACTCTTTTAATTTGAAAGCACCTGATCACAACTAATTCTCCCAGGTTAGCATGGTCTAAGAACTACTGCATGAAGTCTGAGGCATTGACAGCAAACATAGAGAACCTATAGCAGTCAGTAATCAGGCTGAACAGAGGTCTATCAAACGACCAAAAAGACTGAACTTGTGGTTCAATGAAGACAGCATCAGAAAAGGAAAATGGTCAGAGTCTTCTAGGATATACAAAGCTATTGCAAAGATAAAGTTAACAGAATCATTTCCGAATTTTCTAAGACAGAAGAAGAAGTATAAACTACATCCAGGAAAACCACAGAAATATATTAGAAAAAAAACCTTCCCAATGGTGAGGATCTAAAGTACTGAGTCATCAGTCTGGAATAATTGAAGCTCATATCTTGCCTCAAGGTGGAATGGTAAGGAGACGACCCTTTCAGTTTTACTGCCTATGATATGGTGGTTTGGATTCTGGGAAAGGAAATTACTAATTTTACCAAGAGGTCAAGTAAGGAAAAGACTGTATGTTTGAGCATGCTGACAGAATGACATCCGCAACTATGGAAAGCAGTAAGCAGTCAAGTTTCAGGGCTGACTGTTTCAGATACTTTGGTACCTCAGATGTGAAAGTTTGCCCCTGTATCTGCCAAAGAGATGTCTATTATTGTAGCTGACCAGGGATCAGCTTCTTGGGCTGACACTGCTGTAGGGTTATGTGGTGTTTCTGTCTAGAACAGGACATAAAGGAGCACAGCAGCTAAGAAAACAGTACTATATTTTACCACATATGTTAAACAGCATCAGAGCTAAGATGAAAGTTGTGTTTTTCAGAAAAAAACAACACAAATTAGTTTAGAATACAGTAAAATAATCTAGGGGAAAGCCAAAAAAAAAAAAAAACTAAAGCCAAAAAAAAAAAAAAACTAAAGCCAAAAAAAAAAAAAAACTAAAGCCAAAAAAAAAAAAAAACTAAAGCCAAAAAAAAAAAAAAACTAAAGCCAAAAAAAAAAAAAAACTAAAGCCAAAAAAAAAAAAAAACTAAAGCCAAAAAAAAAAAAAAACTAAAGCCAAAAAAAAAAAAAAACTAAAGCCAAAAAAAAAAAAAAACTAAAGCCAAAAAAAAAAAAAAACTACAGTCCATACAAAACAAATAATCCTAAAGAAGTCATGCTTTTCGAAAATTGATTTTCATGTACCTTTCCTTGAAATCATGTGCAACAATATTCTGTATTACAGTAAATGTAAATTTGATATTTATATATATTCTTTCCAGATATTTGATACTTTTTGCTGGAAGATGTGAACCAACAAATGTAAGTTCCTTCTGATGAAGATAACTAATTGGAAAAAACTGTCACGTATGGAAACATTTCATATGTCCTGCAATTTTAGACTTGTCTCTATTTTCTTCCATATTCTTCTTATTTCTTTTGAAAGTGTATTCCATTCTGTAAACTGTCATTCAATATGTAATCCAGTGTTTTCTTTCACCATTTCTAGGTCTGTAGGGAATTATCTCTGTCAAAAGCTTGACTACAGATTTATTCTCTATGTGCCTGTCTTTCAATGTTCCTTTGAGACTTCAGGCTCAATATTTGGGACTCATACAAATAACCTTTTCTTGGGCAAAATGTAATCTGGTAAAGCCACTCTTTAAAACACTGATCCACTCCTTAGCATCTAAGGAAGGTAATATCCCTTAGTTTAAAATGAGAATTGACAAAAATTACCAGAAGTCAGCGCCCCGCCCCCTTCCTTATTCTTCCAAATGGATCACAAATATTTACAAATTTAACTTTATTTTGCAAAGCTATACAGAGTGATCATTTTATCTATTATACTTGCTTTACTCAGATCTGGAATGTAACATTTAAGCTTGTAATTAGATGAAAGTATTGCATCATTATGCCGGCTTTTATAAATTTAAGAACAAAAATAATTTTCATCTCACCATAAAACAGCGCTTGAAACATACCTTGTCAGATTACAGATTTTCTAGACTACAAAAAAAAATGACTGCTATGTAGAGGTGTGAACTTAATCTGATTGATTTTAATTTAAATCAGTCCATAGAACTTGAGGGTCTGCCTTAAAATCTCAATCAACAAGGTCTAACTGAAGTTCTACCCAAGTACTAACCTGATTTAGTACTGGTTACTTTAACAGACTTGACAGGATCACAGCCCAAAACAGTATGGCATAACAATTTCAGAAAGTTAAGTAGCAAAGTACAGAGTTCAATCAGAGCAAAAATCATTGTAACAGTATTTATTATGTTGTATGATAAATGAATTTTTCACTTACCACAACACTCTGGACAGTCTGGATGTGCTAGAGCATCGATTCCATACCCTGGATAGCAGCGATTAACCCGTACCATTTGCAGAGTACCTTCAATGTAATATATTTCAGGCAACTGTTCAGAACTTTGCCTGCCAACTTCCACTTGTTGCTTAAAAAATCTCTCTATAAGGCGTTTTGCCTAAATTTAAACAAATATTTTTTCAGAATTTTTCATGGAGAAAGGTCAGAATACAAGAAAAGACAAAAAAACATGAGTATGAGTTAGGATTAAGGATGAAACACTAAATCTTTTGATTGTAGCTGAATGGAAACAATCTGATGTTCTTGGATATGGTGGTTTTAATTTAGATAAACCTTGATCAATTACTGTCTTTGAAAGTGTTCAGGATTATACAAATACAGCTTTAAAAGCTAATCCGTGGCGATTTTGTCTACATTAGACATTATGCAGCCCAACATCAATAGACTTGCAGCTTTCCCATCTATATAGGTACTATTATTTAGGTCCACTTGTGTTTCAGACATATTTTCCATCTTTATTAACGATTTCTGTTCAATAAAAAGAAAATGCCAAAGGTGTCCTGCAGCCAAGTTAAATAAGGAGATTATTATTATATCAGAAGACTAATTCCCTTACTCAAAAAGATTTGCACAAATTCAGTCCTAGATAGGAAAAACATTCCTTTCTATTAGTGCACAACCAGCAGCACAATCACAGAAACATTAGGATTCAAGGGCGCTCTATTCCATCTCATCTGTTCCATCTCCCTTGCTAAAGCAGTGTTTATTTTTAAAAATCCTTTATTTTTTTTATTTCCCTGGACTTTTTGGAGCATTTTTTATGAAGTGTCTTACACTGGAATTTTAAAGATTTTAAGTCATAGTAGTTAAAAATGTGACTTTTAACTGGCTAAAATATATAAAATATTTAAGTAACACCAGACTTATCAGCAATCTGATAAAGTCTAACAGTAAAAAGTATCAATACTTCATATCTAGACAGTGCTTCATATAGAAATGAAGGGATTAATTATATATAAAGCTAAAAATACAAAGCAAGAAAAACACCTTTAATAGGCTTGCAAGGTTCAGCACACACACAAATTGGCAAAACCAAATTTATTCATGCTTTCTTGATTTGAACCTCTTGTCTATATGTCTTTATTGTGGGAGTAGCTTATTATTTCACTGAATTTCACTGAATTTCTAGAGTTGGAAGGGACCATAGAGATCATCTAGTCCAACTCCCCTGCTGAAGCAGGATTGCCTAGAGCTAGAGCATGTTACTCAGGACTGCATCCAGGCGGGTTTTGAAAATCTCCAAAGAAGGGGACTCCACAACCTCCCTGGGCAGCCTGTTCCAGGGTTCCGTCACCCTCACCGTGAAGAAGTTTCTCCTCATATTTGAGTGGAACCTCTTATGTTCCAACTTGTGCCCGTTGCCCCTCGTCCTCTCGGTGGGAACCACTGAAAAGAGTCTGGCTCCCTCCTCCTTCAACCCTCCCTTGAGATACTTGTAGGCGTTGATAAGGTCTCCCCTCAGCCTTCTCTTCTCCAGACTAAAGAGTCCCAGCTCTCTCAGTCTCTCCTCATAAGGGAGATGCTCCAATCCCTGAATCATCTTTGTAGCCCTACGCTGGACTCTTTCTAGTAGTTCCCTGTCCCTCTTGAACTGGGGAGCCCAGAACTGGACACAGTACTCCAGTTGTGGCCTCACCAGTGCAGAGTAGAGGGGGAGAATGACTTCCCTTGACCTGCTGGCTACACTCTTCCCTATACAACCCAAGATACCATTGGCCTTCCTGGCCGCAAGAGCACACTGTTTACTCATTGCCATTTTACTGTCCACCAGGACCCCTAGATCTTTCTCTTCAGTAGTTGCCTCTAGCGGGTCCACCCCTAACCTGTATTGGTGCCTGACATTCTTCTTCCCCAGGTGCAGGACCCTACACTTTTCCCTGTTGAACCTCATGAGGTTCTTCTTTGCCCAGCCCTCCAGCCTGTCCAAGTCTCGCTGGATGGCAGCACAGCCCTCCGGGGTGTCAGCCACTCCTCCCAGTTTGGTATCATCAGCAAACTTGCTGAGGATACACTCTGTCCCCTCGTCCAGGTCACTGATGAATATATTAAACAGCACGGGTCCAAGTATTGACCCCTGGGGGACTCCACTGGTTACAGGCTTCCAACTTGAACCTGCTCCATTAATAATTACCCTTTGGGTCCTGTCACACAGCCAGTTCTCAATCCACCTCACTGTCCCCTCATCCAGCCCATACTGCCTCAGTTTCCCAATGAGGATGTTATGGGAGACAGTGTCAAAAGCCTTGCTGAAGTCAAGGTAGATGACATCTGCTGCCCTCCCCTCATCCAACCAACCGGTTATGGCATCATAGAAGGCTATCAGATTGGTCATACATGATTTACCCTTGGTAAACCCGTGTTGCCCACTTCCAATAACCCCCCACTCTTCAACTTGTTTGGAGATGACATCTAGTATGAGTCTCTCCATCACCTTCCCAGGGACAGAGGTGAGACTAACTGGTCTGTATGTTAGTTCCCTTTCTATTTCTCCATATACTGTACCTTGTTTAGTCTATGAGGGGCATCACAAGCACTTTCCTGACATAATCTGTCTTCTCTGTTTAAGGATTCAACTGTAACAAAACACAATCTGTTTATAGAAGAACAAAGTCAATGAAATCAACATTTTTTTTTTTATTTAGTAGTTTAAGATTCTAATCAGTTCTCCTGCAAGTATTTAGGATTTTTCACAGTATTTTAGATGTCTAACTTGCAATGTTTTAAAGAAATCACAGAGCTTGTCCTCTTATAGAAATGACATGTGCATGTCTAATTTTCAGTATACTTAATTTTTTTATGGGAACTGTCATTTATTTGTCAATTCTAATGGCAAGGAAATACATAATTCTGGACTCTTCCCAGATTTATAAATATCTGAATCATTTCAAAAGAAATAACCTACTCCCCCTCTAATTACCTGCCTGCTGTTGTGGATTTATCAAGACTCTGGTTTTAAAACAGCCATCCAGGAACCCTACCAGCTCAAGCTTCTGACTGTTCCTATTATGGACTGAAGTTTTCTCTCAAGAACAATATCTAGGGCTCCTGCCCCTGCACAAACATGTAACTTCCTGAGCCTCACCGACTCAGCCCTTCACATTCTCATAGGAATGCCTATGACACATGGAACCTAATGAAGACTTAAAATTGAAGAAAAAGTGTAGTTACATTTTAGTAATCCATTTGCATGGGTCCACATTCCTTATCAACTTACTAGTACTGACATGTTATAGTGAAAGCCTGGGAAATAGTTAACTAAGCTGACAGACTGCTCTCCAAAACTGACATTAGAGTAAGCTGCCATATTAAGAATAAAATTTTCTGTTAACATGTGAATTTAACTCCTTATATTATAAGCTTTACCTACCCCTGTCATGGAAATAATTCTGAAACATCAAATGCAACTTAGAAACTTAGTACTTTGTAAGACTTGAAGGTACTTAACATGTAGTTCACCACTGAGTCATATCAAAGTTTACCTGCAGCTAAATCACCAGGTGGATATTTTCTCTTCCTAATGCTCAAATATACTATAAAGCCTCCACATAGCTAAATCTCATTTATATAGTTTCAATAATGTTAGAATTAACCTTAATTGACTACACTATCAGCAACGAGACTCTTCAGACATGTCAGTGCTATCCGATACACAGTTTTCACAGAAACACGACTGACTAATAGTTCCGTTGTTTTTATAAGCAATTATATTTAATTTTCAAGAAAATTAAAATTGGAAAGTAGAAAATGAAGCATAATTGCTATACTACATTCTGAAAGGAATCTTTTTAAATTGCATGTCTTGATACATAGTGAATAATCTAATACAATATATTAAAACAATGGCCTTTTTAGAGCTGAAATAATTAGAAACAGTAAGTTCAAGAAAATACCACAGTTGTTCTCCTATACATTCAGCTCAACAAGAGACATAACACTGAGATTTCTGACTTCCACAGTCAATGCCTTTAGTTAAATCTGGTAATGGAAACATTTTATAAAAACAAATTCATGTTGTAAGTGAAAATGTATTTTTAATAACTAAACTATCAAAGAAGGATAAGTAACTAAGACACAGTGCGGCCTTCATAAACTCATTTATGTATATTACAATACACTCAGTAAGAATTTTTAAATATCCCATAATTTGGTGACATCTTTCCAAGCTACCCCATGATTTGTTTTAAATCAAGCCAACTCAATATATTTTGGCAACTCAGTTTTACCCAGGTGTCATGGCCTCAGTTGCTATACAGTTAGCTTTCTTACTAGCAGCTGGTATAGTGCTGTGTTTTGGATTTGGGATGAGAAATACTTTTAATAGCGCAATGGTGTTTTCAGTAGTTACAAAGCTCTCAAGACCTTTTCTGCTCCTCACACCGCCCAACCAGCGAGCAGGCTGGGAGGACACAAGCAGTTGAGAGGGGAAACAGCCTGGACAGCTGCCCTCAACTGACCAAAGGAATATTCCATACCAGGCAATGTCACACTCAGTATATAAAGCTGGGGAAAGAATAAGGAAGGGGAGGACACTCGGATTTATGGCATTTGTCTTCCTAAGTACCCGTTATACATGATGGAGCCCTGCTTTCCTGGAGAGGGCTGAACACCCACCTGCCGATGGGAAGCAGTGAATGAATTTCCTATTTTGCTGTGCTTGCATGTGAGGCTTTTGCTTATTAGTTATTAAACTGTCTTTATGGCAAGCCATGAAGGTTTTTTTTCCTCGCTTTTAATCTTCCGATTCTCCTCCCCAGCCAAACTGGGGAGGAAACGAGCGAGTGGTGGCATGGTTCTAGCTGCCAGCTGAGATTAAAACATGACACCAGGTCTCCCTTAGGCTCCTTTTGTTTTAAAGAAATGGAAAATTATGAAATCTCCCTCTGTTATTGATACCACTTAAAGAAGGAAATGTACTGAGGTTCATCACGTTTAACTTCAGTTCTTGAAAATTAGACATCTGGCCTCAGTCTGTCGTTTGGAAGCTGTTTATAAAGACCAAGGCATATCCATGGAGTGATTTATACGCCTTCTGTAGGTGGCTACATGAAGGTTATGTGAGGAGTTACAGAATACACTCTATCGCTTTCCTCCGTATGTTAGTGTGCAACAGGGGACATGGCAATGTTTTATGATAAAAAATTTAAAAAAATATTGATCTATCCACATCTATAAAATGTTCTAAAGCTCTTCTGAAATAATGTAAGATATGCACTTTTGAGTAGATCAGCTGTCTTTTTGCTATTGACATGAATTTTACATGCAAAACTTTAAAGCATTTTTACAATCAAGGAACTTTACATGCAGAAAGTATTGTAAGGATTTAATAATCAGTAAATACATTTCATTAACTATAAAAATTCTAACCATTCTTTAAAAGCAAAGCCGATTTTTACCTGAAAATGTAAAGAAGATTTCATTCTGTAGACCTCCTCTCTGCATTTTTACATGATGGCATTCTGCCTTTATTAATGCAACCTCACAAGAAAGTTCCTCCACAAGTTTGTTTAGTATCTGAACCAATGTTTTCTCAAAATACGCATTATGATAACTGTTGCAGTAGGCTCCGTGATACTGGGCCGTGAACTCATAGTAAGTGTTAGGATCAGCATAAGCTGCAGGGAAAAATGTGGAAGATGATGAAGAACATATATGAAGTAAAAAGACAAAAAGTAATTGGTATATTTGAAAATAAAATTGCCAATTTAAATCCTCAATTTATAAATAAAACCTATTTTGCACCTCCAGAGAATTTTTAATGATGAAATACCGTATGCTGGGCTAATTGGAAACACTGAGATTCTGACAATTGACATTCTTATTTATATCCATAGGTAAGTCTTACTCTTTAGTATTGCAATTATTTTTTTTAAAACCAACAGGATATTGCAGTAAAGGGATCAGGAATATGAAAGCTAAGGTTAAGAAGCATACAAAATACCCTTTATTATGTGACACAATATTTAATCTTACACATTACAGCCAATTATCGTAATATGTTACGTATTTTTTAGTCAACTATCACAAAACTGTATTAAATGGCTTAAAAACTGAATCCTCTTCCCTAGAGATCTATAGAAGATGCAGCTAGTAAGATGAACAAGAATTCCTTTTCTGTGAGCAGAAGTAACTGAAAAAGCTTCTATATAGGTATGTAATTTACTTTTATGGATGGATCAGCTGTTTCACCTTTACTGCAAAGCTCAATGCACACCTGGGTATCTTTTGCAAATAAGCCAAAGTAGCATAAAATGCATGTTTCTAGTTATATCATGATAACCACTCTACCTTCCCAAAGCTGAAGATCAACAGAACATGATGTGAAATAGAAAACAGGAGTAAAAGAATGCAGAACAGAGGCCATGGTGTGGGTATAATTACAGAAATGAGAAGGGGGCAGCAGAGAAGAAAGAACAAAGAAATAGAAACCAAACTAGCTGAAAGAAGCAGCAGAACATTCAAAATATGGTACCCAATGAAGACAGCTCATTAGATCCTCTACCTGCCTTTTGCTTCCTGCATTTCCTTTCCCTTGCTGCTGCATATTCCATATTTTTTTTGTATTTGTCTATGAAAATTGAATTTTGTATGCTAACACTCAGATTGTATCCTTATTGAAGGATGTAAGTTTGCATTACTGAAAAGTGTAACCTTTTCCATTAAAACTGTTTCAAAGAATTTTTTTCCTTTCCAGTTCTGACAAGCAAGCTAGTTGCTAAAAGTCATGGTTATTCTGTATGAAGGCTACTATGCCAAAGTAAAATTAATTTACATCAGAGGCTAATTTAGGTTATTGTGCTCTACCATGTTTCTAAATGAGCACTGGTACGCATTCTAAATTCACAATCAGACATAGTTCCTGCTGAAGGCAATAGGAGCTTTTCCCGACATCTCCACAAGAATAAAATGTCCTTTAAAGAAGAAAAGGAGAGCTAATAATGAATAAATGATGTTGCCTTTACAGTATTTCACTTTATGAAAGGCTTTACCTGCTGACAGAAGGAAATGTAATCAGAAAAAGAAAGAATAAGCTACAAATATTACATCATTAAATGATAGGTACTAAAAAAATATAATCAGGTAATAATAAAGGCATTAACGTGTGAAATAAATCCATATGGCTGTGCTAAAATTAATCTCATGAAGAATAATTCAGTTTAGAATTATACTGTTTGGATGTTATTAAGGATTACTGCCTATTCATTTTGTTACTTTTAATTATGTTTTATATTTCTTTTTTAAAAATAACTGTACTTATAAGTTTCTCAGTCAGCCACTTGGCTTCATTTAAGGGTCTGTAAGTGCCATTAAATGAACTGCTTGGTAGTAACTAATATTAAAAACAATTTCGCAGAGAAACAGAATGTCTTTATCTCTGCAAATTAAATTCCAAATAAGCTTATTTATTTAAAAATAGTAACAGTATTTTAAAAAATTAAATTTTTTTCCAAGGCAAAACCACACTTACCTGTATTGATAACTTACCATAAATAAGATATTTTATTAAGAGGTTTTTATCAGGTTGCATTGCTGCTAGCTTATAAAAAATGGAACAAGTGTAAACTCCACTCAGTTTGAAGTTGCTCAATATTAAAGTTCCTATTGGTGATATTTCCACACTGCTATTTTCTAGTAAAGACAATAATGAAATAAATTTAGTTGTCATAATGAGAAAATGCAAAAGTAAGGGTCTAAATGATTATTTACTGTTAAGCTGTGCACAAAATAATATTATGGATTCAGCTGCAGACACAGCACTAAGAAACTGAAGCTTGGTCAAACCAATACTTAAATACCAAACTGAAGCAGTCCTAGAAACCTGTTTTTATTTGATCTCAGACATCTACTGTTCTCTCCAATAACCACTTCCAAGAGCAAAAAAATCCCAGAAAAAAATTATAAAGTGGGCAAATAATCTCTTTTCATACCTCTGTATAGTCAACTGACTTTTAACCTTTCAGTCTTCAGGAACTGCCTCATGAATGCTGGTTGTGTTTAACATGCAGTAAACTTCAAAGTAGGCAAGACAGGAAGTTTAAGTTAAGCAAGTACTATATAACAGACCTTCCAAAGAAATTATATTGTATATGCCAAAACAAGAATCATGTATGTTTAAGATTGTAAAATAATCTTTCTGTATGGAAAGATATGAATTGTTACAGTGGCCAAAATCTTAACACAAGAAAGAAATTCTTCATGGTGAGAGCGGTGAGGCACTGGAATAAGTTGTGTCCAAAAAGGTACATTCAGTGAAAATCAAAAGCTAACACAGTATATAATAAATTTGAATTGACCTGAAAATCTTGTTAGGAATGAAACATACTCTTGTTGTCCAGACAGGACTCTGACAGTCTCTCAGGAAACATGTTTAAGTCGTGTATCAGTTATCAGCATGAGCACACCTAATTCTTTTTTCCTTCCTTTTCCACAGAAGAACTGTTTGATATACCAATAGTAGGTTTTAGAATATCTGGAGTTTGGCTTATAGTCAAGAGGCTGAGTGCAGGTATTTAATTTGTCAGTTTCTTAGTTTTACAAAACCATAGTACACAGGTTTTTCAGGCCTATGAAAGGATAGTCACAGTCTTCTGACACAAATATTCCTTCTTTGCATATGCTGGGTGGCAGTGTGTATGAAAAGCAATAACTTTCCTTAGGTTTATTTTCACTGAATTAGAACAGGCCTATTCCAATGTTTGCATTCGGAAATAAAGATTGAAATGCTTTCTCTTTTCTGTTCTATTTAGCTGTTCAGAATACCATCAAAATTGCTGTTTTATGCAGTAAAACTTTAAGATCTAGAATATAAGAAGCAATTATTTTAAATTTTTTTCCTCCACCTAAAGTATATCTTGAAAAACTCTTATTCTAATCAAGCCCAACAGCTGTTTAAAAACTTTAAGTACAATTTCCAGATCTTAGTACAAAAGAGTCACTATGCTAAGTGAAGAAAACTTACTTGCTAATTTTAAAGTTCTAATGATTTTATATTATATTCTGTGCAGTATTTAATTTTTTATCACTCTTTCAACCACAATAAGTGGACTGGAACTATGTGTGAACAAAGCTGCTTGTTCAAAAAAGAACTTTTTAATGGCTACATAAAGAAAAGTATTTACTTCTCTTTGTGAGCTTTTAACGTAGTCACGATATTTGATGTATATAGCTAGACAAAATACCTCCTTAGGGTGTGTGTCAAAGGCTGGTGTACCTGAAAGACACTGATTTTTCTAACTGTGACAGATAGTACAATGAAAAATAGGCTCACCTCCTGCAGATTTTACGCTTAAAGAATTTATTTTGAAGTGCTGCAAAGGCAGTATTTTGTCAATCTTTCCTAAATTTCAATTCACAATTCTACATTTCCACTGAAAGGATTCTTTTCTTCCCTACAACCACACTCAAAAAGTATAAAATAGTGTATCAAGCAAGCTTTATGAATCCTAATTTTCCACTGTTATGGAGACTCACTATGATAGATATTAGAAGACTAAGTAGTCACACCAAACCCAGATAATCTTTACCACCTAGAAAGGTGGTAAAATTACACCCATTCTAAAAGGAGGCCAAGTGATCAAATTTTTTTACACAGCAAACATTTCATAAGCTAGAAACTTTAAACAGCTTTTTGTCTGTTTATATTCTCTGAGAAAAAAATTAAAAATGTGACAACAGCCCTAGGAGCCAAAGTATATTTACCCAAAATTGTGGTGGCTGAAGCTGAAGTCATCTCATTACCACTTTTCAAAAATAATTTTTCTAAGACCTTTCATCCTTATAGAAAGTTATGTCAGGACAACACAAGTTTCCTTCTCACCGAAATGTTTTTTTGCCCACCTGTTGCTGCTTCTAGTACACCTCAAGTTGCTGCAGGGCCAAGAGCCCCTGCCACCATAGCTTTTTTGCTATGTCAAGGTTGACATAACAACTTGGGACACTGCTGAGACAATCTGCCTGACGAGATTTAAACCTGTCGAGTGGAAGAAGTCTGAGGTCTCCATGGTTTTCTGTTCTACTGTGTTAAAACTGCAGTATGAGTAAACAGAAACCACAGTAGTGAAACAGGCAATTTTTGTTAACTGTGAATCATGAGGTTATCTCCTGTCTGATCAGATTAAGATCAGTACTTAAACACACGATAATATACCTTACACTGTGTCTGTCATGCGTCACAGGCTGATCATCAAAATATATCAGCTACAATGCAGGATACTCAGCTAACCACAAAATACCCATCTCAAGGGAGATTAGCAGTTTCATGTGAAATCACATAGCCCACAGGTTTAAGTATAAGCAAAACTACCTATACCACTTTGAGGCAAAGAATGCTAAAAATTGTTTCTGAGGGCTAAGTCAGAGCAAAACAACAGGGCAGTGTTAGATATCATATTAATGTGAAATGCTCTACTATGAAGGTTAGCATGTAGAACGAAGTATCGCTATGGTGTAAACAATATTTCAGATTGCATAATAGGAAAATGTAAGACCAACAACAGAGTTCTGACAGATGTTAGTATAGATCAAGAGGAAAGCAAATAGGATTGAAGAGACTGCTGTTGTAAAAGGATGAATGGTTCATAACCTAAATTGTAAACTAAAATAAGAGATTAAACAGGTTTATAAATTCATCATAAATGTTTATTGTTCTTTTTAAAAAGAATTAAATTGCACTAAAGGATAAATGAGATATATATGGGAGGAACCAAAAAAGAAAGAGAACTCAGGTTCCCTGCTCAGACTTGGAAAGATACTACTGATGAGCCAGTCATGATCTCTAAGCAATCCCTATTATATTCATGTTATTTTTCTCAAATAAGTAGCCCAAAATACTCCACACACAAACAGTTGTCTGGGGTTTTCATGACATACTAGCAGATTATGACAATGATTTCATTAGAGACATCTTTGTGAAAATCAGTGTTTAAATTCTACATGAGTAGATTAACCAGAAGTTGACACTGGCAAAGGATGTGAAGGTCCAACAGAAAAACACACAATAAAGGAAGAGCAATAAAATGCTGGTGTAAGGCTGAATGGGGATGAATGCCCTAGTGACAAAGACACGGAAAACACTGAGGTACACGATGCTTCCTTTGTTTCAATCATTCCTAGCAAGCCCTGCTTTCCAGCCCTGCCCCAGGCTCTGCCAGAGTTCAGGGGAGATGCTACAGGGAGAGAGAAGTGTGGTGTTAGGGACTGGCTTATTTGTGAGTTGGACACATTCTGGTCTATAGAGCAGAATGAGATATATCTGAGGACGCTGAGGGAGCCGACTAATTAATGATTGTTTTCTATTTTGATAGTGATGAGGCCCCCAATGACCAGAAAGACCATCCATCATAAAAACAGGCAAGGAAGAAGTGCCAGGGAATCACAGGTAAGCCACCCTCACCCCAGGCCCTGCAAAGATGATAGAACTGCTGGAAGTCCTTTCAGACACATGAATGACAAGATGGTGATTGAGAAAAGGCAGCATTGATTTGCCATTGGCAAATCATGGCTGACCAGCCTGAGTATCTTCTGGAATTAAACTACTACCTCTAAGGATGAGGGAAAAGCAGCAGATATCATATACACTGAAAGCCTTTAACCAGGATTTCAGTATGGTTCTCCATCACATCTTTGTAGCCAACTCTGGACATATGGACTAGATGAGTGGAATACAAGATGGATGAAAAACTGTCTGCATCATCATTCTGAAGATTGGTCTACCTAGCAGCCAGTTATGAAGGGCTTTCCTTGGGGCTGATACGAGCACCAGAACTTCTTAACATCTTTACCAGCAGCCTATACTACAGGACTGAATGCCTTCTTGTCTAGTATGCAAAAGACATCAAATTTGCTGAGTGGCTGATACACTACAGGACATTGCTCCATTCAATGGGACCTTGCACAACTAGAGAGACAGTCTGCTAGAAACCTCATGAAGTTCAATAGTGGTAAATGCAAAGTCCTGCTCCTGAGACAGAAGGGCAGCAGCGTATGCAGATGGAGACCAGATGACTTGGGAGCAGCCCTGTAAAAAAGTACCTGGGAGTCTTGGTGGATTTTAAACTGAACACAAATCAGAAACACAATTTTGCAGCAGTGAAGGCTAAGCGCATACTGCACCGCGTTAGCAACAGTATACCCAGCAGGTCAAAAGAAGTGATTTATTCTCTCCCTACTCTACACTCATTTGGGCACTCTGGAACGCTGTGTCCAGTTCTGATACCTCAGTACAAGACAGATATTAACAAATATTAGCAAGTCAACAAGAAGGTTTCTGAGATCATTAGGGAGTTGGAGCACAGGACAAGAGATAGAAGAAACTGGGATTTTTATCCTGGAGAAGTCTAAGGAGAGAATTGCAGCCCTTCACTACCTAAGAGGAGATACAGAGAAGAATAATCCATACTTTTTGAGAGAAAACAACAACCAGCAACAACAACAAGTTGCAATAAGGGAAATTGTGATTGAAAATAAGAAAAAAAGAACAGGTTGTACAGAAAAGGCAGAAAATCTCCAGGGACAGAGATTCCCCAAACTCAGGTGGTCAAGGCCCTGAGCAACTTCATAGCTGAAGATAGCATGTCATTGACCAGGCAGTTAGGCTAGATCACACTGCCCATCATCCTATTATTCTGTTCTTGCAGAACACTCCCAGCTGTCAGCGCAGCAAAGAATTGTCATCCTCAACCTCTGTCGCATGCAACTTGCCCTGCTCTGTGTAGTAATCTTTAGAGATGGCACCATTCCTTACAAAGATCTGAAAACTTTTTTTTTAGTTTGGTTATCTCACCCCTTTCTTTCTGAAAAGTGAAAGTTAATGATATACATACAAACACTTGCAAAGTATCCTCAGCTACTTCTCCATTTTTATAATCTTCATGCTGTGTTGGGGAGGGAGTGGGAAGAAGGGGAGAGGATATTGGGGGACATTTAAGAAAATCCTTACCTGAAGAAAGACCACCTCCTGGTCCATTCCAATGAAATTTTGGATCAATGAGTTCTAAGTTTCGCAGACGATTTGTAAGACATAAAATACGTGGACTGTTGTGATTCAGCTTGACATAAACTTTGACTGAAAGAAAAATTATCATTAGCTTCAAGTATTTAACTTTGCTACCCTAGCAGTGAGCTATATAAATTTCAAGACAATGATCTTGAATAGAGTTCTAATTTGGGGACTCATTCTGTCTCTTCTTGTATGTAATCTGTAGCACACAGGTGCTTCTAGATCTTCAGTTGTTTCTAAAAACTATGATTAGTGTAGTCATAATCACTTCCATAATATGCAGGATTTCAATGTATACAATTTGTTTTATTTCCCGTCCCACTGACATTCTGTGAAGCATCTGTCCTCTTCAGAAGCATGGGATGATAGATATTGATGCTCTAGTAAAATCTCAACTTGAACCACGCACTGTACCAGGCTACCCTAATGCCACTGAAAAGCTAGAACTAGTATAAAACATTATAGCTACTACATTTGTGATTTGGAGAACTTGACTAATAATTAAAACTGAATCAAATAAGAAAATTACCATATATGTTATCTTACCATTGACTATTTCTGATTTCCTGCAAGTGGAAAACTTTACAGGAAGGGATTAATGTTCATAAAAACTTTTCCATTATGGAAACTGGCACTAATGCCACCACAGTCTTCTCTTCAAGTATAATTGTTTCATTAAAAAACATTACATTCACATTACAATATACTTAGTTATAACATTTAATAAATAACTTCAGAATTTTGATAGTCTTAAGATCAGGAAGTATGTCCATCCCAGCTAATAATCAATTTTTTACAGTAGTTTATATCGCAGAAAACTGCAAAGTATGTATTTTCAATTGTACAAGAGTATACCATGGAAATACATGTCATTAATAAGTGGTGTTCCAATTTTTAATCCCAAAGCATGAAAATTAGTATGAATTCTACATGTTAATGCAACTGCCAATGTGATTAGTCTGTTTCCATTGCAAATCCTTAATGCTTTTTCTCAAAATTTACTAGCCAACTGGCTTTAGTAATAGTCTGGGACAAAACTGTATAGAATACATACCTCTTCCACTTCTCATTTTGTTTTTTATTTCCTCAAGATCACTTTATTTGGTCTTAGAAATGTTTTTAAAAAATTATATATCCATAATAAAGAGTAATAAAATTATAGTGTCATTATCATAACCTGCCAAGATGCTAAATTCTGTCCCACCACTGTAAATTTACATGACAGTTCTGTAAACATGTATCATAGGAATAATACAACAGAAGGGCATCTGATAGGAAATGCCGGCTAAAAAAATATCTACCAGGTATAACCTTATTCTTCTTGCTTTCAAAATAAAGTCTTCCTCTTTTAATTAAAGTACTTTGCTATTTTTCTTATTTGTTCATATTCTCTCTATTACAAAAATATTTACCTTAGATAGTGATCCAAAAAATAACATTTATGTCAGGTATTTTAAAAGTGCAGGATCTCAATAGTGTTGTATTGCATTTAACCCGATTTTGGTGAAAAAACCCCACAAAATAGAGAGGTTGGCCAGCATCTCAAAAGAACACTGTGGCCAAGTCTAGTATACTCACAATGGTCTGTTCCAGAGAAGGTGGAAGCAGTCTTTATTAATACTAAATTGTTTAGAAACAGATTTGGGATAAAACATTTTAATCTTGCCTTCTAAATTTCAAATTGTCCTGTGCCATTCAAGTAGTAGCCCTGTTTACAGACATGAATCGGAATCAGAAAAGAGAAAAAGTACACTAATACAAGGAACCTTTAAACCATTCAGAGCCATTATTTAATATTAATGCTAAATAATATCATAAGTTAAGCACCTAAGAGAAATCTTTAAAAATAAAGGGTTTTAAAACAAGTAAATTTAAACGATTTCTCTGAATTTTTTCACCTTTGGACAAAAATTGATATGACTAAGAATCTCTACCAAAAAATAGGTCAAAAAATGTTGTCTTTTAGCATTCCCCCAAACAACAGAAGTATCACTTCTAGTTACACTACTAGTAACGCAGTAACTGGAAAACATACATGGAGTAAACTATGGGGAAGAGTATTACCAAAACCAAGCTGGCAATGTGCATTTAGAGAAAAAGCAATATGAATACATGCATGGCAATGAGGAATAGCCTAGTCTTTTATTTCATTTTCAGATTTTCCAATAATTGTTTTTGAATTGGTAATATTATGTTGTAGAGTTACATGGATTTAACTTAGAAAGCAATTAATTCTTAACTTTTCTTATTTTTTATTGTAGAAAATAATATAAACTTTATATCTCAAGTTCTGTGCACATAACAAGAGAAATGAAGTTAGAATACCTACAGTGCAAGAAAGCAGTATTTCAGAGCAAGAATCCTACAGCCAGGTGGAAGAGTACACTGAACATTTTTATTTTTATAACAATTACAGAAAATAATTATATTGGATTCATAAAAAATATGAGTAAGAATAAAAAAAAAAAACTATGAAAAATAAATTCCAGTGACAGAAAAATATGCTGCCAGATAGCCTATTAAGTATACATGTCAGTTCATAATTGTAATTAATTAAACAATTAATTTAGAACAATTCAACAACAAGGGATATTATAAAGACAAGCCTTTTCTTGGTAAAAAACATATTTTCACTAAAATTTATTACATTATGTTTAAAGAGAAATACCTGGGAATACAACAGATCCCACTATTTTTAAGCTACTTTCTCTTGGCACTGCACTTCTTAAAAATCTCTTTGAGGGCTGAGCTGTCAAAAGATAAAATGATGGCATTAATTCAACTATTTATCTGAAAAAGCAAGCAGCAAACTTTAGGTTAATCTACACTCTTTAATAGACTTGTTCTTCAATGGATATTAAGTTTATACTTGCCTAATGTCTTACACAATGCACAACTCTCACTAAGGCAACAAAAAACAATGACAAAGGCCCGATACAGAAAAAGCATCCTTATTCTAAACAGCAATTCAGTTTAGATTTAATTTTAAATATATTGATGTTTTACAAAATAACTATCACATTTTAAATTGAGACTGTCCAAAATGGGGATAATGAGGATAGGCACTGTCCAGAACTGCAGAAAAAGTTTAGCCGCATTGTTTTGATACACACAGTCAGGATGTCAATCAGTGTGTATACTGACCATTAATGAAGTAACAAGTTTGGGTTCTGTCATTATTGTTATTTTCTTAATTTCCCCATGAGATGAAATAGAAAGTATGGCTATTTTAATTTGTATTTGTTCTATTTTAAACAGAAATTAAAAACAAGGTCATAAAAGATTGCAAAGCTCTGCAAGACATACAAGGCTTCTGAAACAAAACTAAGTATCTTTCAGGTGGACATTCTAGTACAAGTCAGATATTAATTTCTTTTACAGAGTTTCCAGAGATACAGAACTAATGCCAGCAGAACGATAATGGCTATTAGACCTCTCAGTATTTTGTGTTCTTTGTCTCCACCTCCTGCTTGGAAATAATGTGGGCTTCTGTGAGTTAAGGTATGCTTTCGATTTCTAATTCTTTTAGGTAATCTGGGAAAGAAAGTAAATAACAAAGGCATAAAAAGCCTTGAATACAAAAGACAGTAATAAAATATTGAACATATATTTAGTAGCAGTTATTTTATGAAGATGGGCTAAATAATTATGTGGCACCGGATCAGCATTTGTTGCTAACTTAGGTTCAATATTAAAGAACTTAAATCAACAGTAAATACTCTGGTAAACTGGTAATCGGTTAAGGCATGTGTTTGGAACAATGAGAGAGATTAGGTCACGTATCAGCTTTGTTTTGATTTATCTTGATTTAAGTAATAATGGGAAATTATCAATTAAAAAATGAGAGAAGATAATAAAAAGAGTAGTCTCATATATGACAGATTTCTGTGATTAACAGTTTGATTTACCTTGTAGTATCACTTCACTATGTACCACTTCCACAACTTTGAGAAGCAACATTTTTCAAATAACTTCATTTTCCCCAAAGACCTCTTAGAAGGACTGGACGTTTTTTATTGACAAACAAAATGGATTAAAATTTTTCCCACTGCAATATTTCTGTTGAGACTTTTACAATTCTGTTGCACCGGCAGAAACAAAGCCAATTGATCACTAAATTTCAGCTCCCAAAAAGAACATGATCAGATTCTCTGTTGACAAAAATCAGCATATGCTTTGATTTTAATAAAAGTATACTAATTTGGGCAAGTAAGGAAAAACCTGAAAAGGGTACTCCAAGTACTCCAAGTTTATGAAAAGGCAACTGAACAAATGCATTTAAAAAGTTAAGCATTGCAAGGTCTGAGGTATAAGCAGACATACATGAATGGGAGCTCATAGTTATGAGCAGATATACATGATTTTGTGGGATGTTCAGGCACTACTTAACCAATGTAGAAAGAAAGTAATACTTGTTTACAATAATAATTTAAACCCAAAGATGGAGCCCTTGAACTGTTTATTTAAAAGAACTAAAAAAAGGTGAAGCACTATAGTTACTGAAAAGAATATAATGTAAACTATATGGACTGGAATTACAGGAATTACTTTTCTGGAATCTTCAATGACATTGCATGCCACATTTTGAGAAAATCAGGTTAAATGCGCTTTCATGTCTACAGACATTTAATTTGCATAAAGACATTTCAGCCAGTAAATGTTTCTGTCTCCATATGAATCCCAGCTCTCATACATTCTTTCCCTCATTCTCTAGACTGCCTTTTAAATTTTTTTAAGCTATTTTCAGGTTTCCTAATTGAATTCCTTTGCTATTCTCCTAATCACCTGGAATTTAAATGGCACTTCCTGCAGCAGCCTTGAGCACAAACCATCTTCCCATTCTCACTCACTATTTTAAGAGTGCACGTGATCAGGTTAAAAGGACACTTTTTATCAAATGAAAGTATCATGAGATCATTAAGTTACAGAAAGAACAAGAAAAACAACAACAAAAAAGGACAAGGGAACTGCTTAAAATCCATTTTGAAGTCATTTAATATATCATTCCATCTCTTCAATTTGAAGGTGCACTTACCCAGCAGTACGCAAAGTTAAGTTTCAATCCTTTTTGAGAAAAAATAAATTAGATTTCTGAATTAATTCCCAAATTAGGTTTTTAAGCAGCCCAATGCATTAGAAATGTATAGGGTGTGATTTCTCATTGTCTTGTACTTTTTACAGACATAATGCAATGTGTGAGCAACAGTTCCTTTTGCAGAAGAACACAGGTGAAGAAAAATAGTTTTACATCACTATCAGACACATGGAAGTTTGGGGTAATTCACCCATCAGTCCCAGGTGATTCAAACTTCCCAAATACCTAAAGAGCCATTCCCGAAGACTGGAATTCAAGGGTACATTTGCCATACAAAACATTTACGTAACTTGAGGATTCATTGGGTGACAATAAAATCTGCTGAAGTTAAATTCAGCAGCTTTACAACTAATTTTTGCCACTGAAACAGGCCAAAGATTCTGCAGAGAATTAAATATAAGTATACAATGCTACCCTATTTGATGCATTTAAAGTCTACTTGGGATATGCGTAAGTTCTACCCTAACACTAAGAGATAAATTGAGCTTGTGTATTTCCAAAGGGTTCTGCCTACAGGGGGAAGAGTCTCAATTCCAGATCAGAAGTAGCAGGTGGGTTGTACCTGCACAGACAAACAACGCCTCCTGCTCCTCCCTGATCCAAAGAAGTTATAACAGCACCAGGTAAGGAGGGAACCCTTCCCACTCCCTGCCCAAAGGAAGAATCCGGGTAGATTAGTATTGACCAAATCAGCATTCATTCCTATGCCCGTTGAGTTGAAAGGGAACACCATTCACATCAAGTATATTCTACTATGTCATAAAATATTTTATTCTGAATCTTTTATCCTTAATATTACTCTTGCAAAATTAATCATCTTCAAAATAATTAATCAGAAAATTAAATTTGGTCTGAAAATTTAAGTGGCAGAACAGAGAGTTTAAAATGAGCCTTAAATAATTAAACAATCAATTTATTGATTAATAAAATAGTGTATTACTAGAATGTTCAATCAGCATAGTTTCAATTCATTTGAAATTGATTCTATGAAGAAATTCTATGAAGCAATAAGAAAAGGTTTATTTAAGTTATGGTAAATGCTGAAAGTTTTTTCAAAGTAATTATGTTTTGAGATTATTTTTGTAAAGAGATTTCGGCACCAAAAGAGTATATAAATAGCAATGGTACTTAAGTTATTTTTGCTCAATCATACTAATAGTCAAGTGTTTTCCTATATCCAAGTATTTTAGTTACAGATGGCATTTCTAAGCCTATTGATGGTAAGTGCTGTGCAGAAATATTAACATTTCTATTACTAGTCATATGAAAGTTCTAATCTCAGTTACATTAACCCTTACAAAAAAAAAAAAAGCTTGAAATACACATCAACTATATTATGTTTTTCAAGTATGTCTTCATATTTCCTGTGACAATTACACCACTAACACATTTCATAAATTTAGTTAAAAAGGAAACTTTTGCCTTATTGTATAGCAAGCTAAATTTAAAATGTTGTATCTTTTCAGTAAGATGGAAACTCCCTTCGGATAGCTCAGAGAAGTCAAATGTAATTAAGAAATTTTAAGAAACCTGTTCCATACTGTCCTCAAAAAGTTTAATGATTCACTAAAGGAAAATCACATAAGCCAAACCTGTTAGCATTAGTAAACAAAAAACAGAACCAAAGAAAAGTCTTAAAAAAGAAGGTTCATATTCTTTACACCAATCTAAACTCAGGCTATATTAATTAATTCCCCAATACAATACAATTGAAATAACGTCTTTTTGTTTTGAAATTGGCAACGTCTATTATGCCTACTAAAACCTAAGATGGAAGAAATACTATGGCAGCAATACACCAGTGAACATACACTGAAATATTGCACACAGTGGACACAAGATCAGCACTAGTAACCAAAACTGTAGTCTTGGTATTCCACCACATAACTATTTCTGTACCTCAGAGCCTCGGGCAGTGATGCAGCTCTTTTAGCTGAGTACCGAGGTTACCTGCTGCTCACTGCCTGTGCAACACACCTGTGGTGTTCAAATCCTTCTGGCATGCAGCTTCTTTACTACACAGGAGGGAGAAACACCCATCTCCCCAGCACTCACTGTTCATTTTTGAGAAAAAAAGAAGGTAACCTAGATAATCCCTTAGCTTTCCTGCATCCATCTCCACCTCCACACGTGGAAAGGAAGTTTAATCTTGGTTAATATGGTGGGTGTTGATGGGGAAAGCACCGGCAGGTGTAAAACAAAAGCCCCAGGGGAAAGCTGACGTTCAAGGGCACAGCCCCGGTGTTCCGGAGCAGCACGGCACGCACAGCAACACACACACAGAACCACCCGGCTGCAAAGGGGTCACAGACACCGCACCACCCGCATCTGATTGTGGAGAACGGCGTAAATAAATACATGAGAGCAAGGACAAAGGCACGGGCAGGGCGTGAACTTGGGAAAGCCCTCTAGAGTTCACACCCGATGCTCCAGCCTGAGCAGGGACGGCAGACAGCGGGGTCTCGGCGCCGCCGCCTTCCCCGAGCCGCCCGTCCAGGCCAGCAGGGCTGCGGAAGGGGCAGCCTGTGGTGGCCCCACCCCGCCGGCCCAGCACGGGCCAGAGGCCCCGGATGCCATCGGCCTGAGGCCAGCGGCCGCCGGGCGGCGCCACCCCACCACCCGGGATGCTACCTGCGGCGGGTGCCGGCAGCGACAGCAGCAGAAAGAGTTGGAGGAGGAGGAGAAAGAGGAGGAGGCGGGCCGTGAGGCGGCCGGCGGCGGCCGTTGCCCGGCGGCACCCCCGCGCCGCACGCCACATCGCCCAAAGGCCGCCAGCGCCTCTGCCGACCGCTCGGGCGCGCGGCAGCCGTTACCCGCCGCCAACGGCCGAAGGGGCGGGGGGGTGGGGGGGAAGGAAAGGGAGTGAGCGCGCGGGGCGGGCGCGGCGCCGTGAGGCGACGGCAGGCGGGGAGTGCGGGCGGTGAGGGCGAGCGGCGGGGGTGGAGGTGTCTCTGCCGCCGGCCGGCCTTCTCCGCCGTGACCTGCCGCGGGGAAATCAGCGGCGGGGCTTTCCCAGCCGCAGAGCCAAGCTCTGCACTTTGAGTCTCTGGAGAAACGGGGAGCGGTGGGGGGGGGTGGGGGTGGTAAAGGGAGGGTAAAGGCTTTCACATCCTCAAACCCCAGGGAAACATCTGCCGCCGCGGCAGCTCCCTCCTCAAATCGTCCAGCTGCCGGGTTATACATAATTAATCCCAGTCCATTAACGCGCCTCGGCTGCGGGGGTTGCTCCTTCGAAAGGCCTGTGGTGCTGCAGACTGCTCCTGGGGGTGGCCAACGGGACGGTGAACTGGCTTCGTGCTCACGGCAGTGCTTCCTAGAAAAATAATAATTAAAAAAACAACAGGGAAGTTTCCATTGCAAAACCAAAGAGTTGTGCTGACCTAGGTTACAGCTGTGCCGCTCACTCTTCATCGCGCTGCTACAAAAAGGTAAAGTGTCAGGAATGCCAGGACATTCACATGTTTCTGCGGCGTAGGAATATTTAATTTGTAGTAGGTTATAGAAGGAATATTCTAAAAGAAGGAAGGAGGGAAAAATGAATTACTGGGGAAGTGAGTAAGTCTGGCAAGAAAATTCCACTGTATTGGAAAGCGTGGTGTGGTGGTGCTGTGCCAGAGAAGGAAAACAGCTGTTTGCATCAGAGAACCAAAAAGACTGCTCCACAGGAATCCAGAGCAAAGTATAAGGCAGACATCTAGTGAAGAGGGCTAGTTCAGCTCATCAATGGTCTTCCTTAAAGCACAGATAACTTCTGAAAATTGACAGTAGAAATAATTCAGCCTTAGGTGGCGAATTTGTTTCCTGAGGTAATCTGGACAGAATCACTGTCAGTGAAATCCAAGATAAAGCTTTAATTGCATTTCGTTCTGCAAAATGAATGCAACAAAACATGGGTTTGGACTGTTTTCCATCTTATGACTTGGCTGGCTCCCATGTCTTTGCCTCTGCCCTTTATAAAGCTTTCCAGGAGAAGGTAAGCAGTGGGAGAAAAGGTCCTTCTGCAACACTGGATGTTACAGTGTCTAGTGTAAAACTGAACATGTTTGGTATGGAGAGTGCTGTGTGTCAGTGAATATAGACTGCAGTATGGCATTTTAAATGGTTACAGGCAGAAGTCAAATTTGGAAGTATCTTTTCACTAATTTGAACATTGCAAGTATGATAGCAAGTGGACACAAGTTGTTTCAGGCAAGGAGTTATGTGTTTTCATCGTGTTCACTTAGCCTTACAATGCTGGTACTGCATATATAGTGTTCTCAGCTGTCATTTTTTACCCATTTCAGTTTTTGTGACCTATACATGAAAGCTGTCTTAATAAGAAAGAAGCTTGATTTATTTATTTATTTTCAGGACCATCAGCAAACTGCTCCAAAGAAAAACCACCGTGGTTCTGCCCTATGAAACACAACTTTTTATTACTATAAACCAGTACTGTAATTCATGTTGTGCCCATTCCTGATTTTGTGTTAATCAAGAGCAAGTTAGGAATTCAGGTAGGATACATCTGTGTGAGACAAACATAAATGAGAGAATGATCAGACACTGTGAAAGCCCCATAATGTGAATTGAGCTGTTCCAACATAGTTGGATTTTTCCAAAATGTCAGAGGTTTGCAGATTGCACTGAATTCTGCAGAGAGGACCTCTATAAATCAGACCGCTTTTGTTTAGATTGCTAAATGAAGACAGTCGAGCTTGGGGTTCAGAAATGAGTGCTGCATATTCTGATCTGAGACATTAATGGATTTGCCAGCCTGATAGAACAAATGGCAAAACTGATGTCAATGTGATTTACTTATTCCAAATGGGTTCAATAAATTTTGTTTGTTTTAAACCCGAGTTTCAATTTAATTCATATTTCTGATAGCTAGAGAGTAGTTTATTTTAAAATATTTCAATGAGAACGTTATAAAATTCTTAGTAAGACTGAAAACTTTCTGATTTTGCCTTTACTAGATGAATAAGTAACTAGTAGTGCCATTTCAAGTTGCCATGTGTGCCCACTTGAAGGACTGGATTATTCTGGTATGCATAAACCAGGTTTCCAACCAGGAGACATTTCATTGTGAGGTGGTTTCCATCGTTACCAAGCAACAAAACCTCTGCTCGTTCAATGGGTGTGTTCTTTCTGTACCATGCTTGATAAATCTCTTTTTCAGGAAAGAATTCATTAGTTAAACCACTGCCTTGCTTTTTACAGTTGCTATGTACTGATCTTCTGGAGCATAACCTCTACTTTTACTGTGGTTTGTTGGCTAGGTCTTCAGAAACTTGGAAAAACAGGAGCAAGTGGAGTCTTTTAAGTTTACTGTCGCATAAGGACGATAGAAGAGGAGGACCATGGCTTCCCATGGAGTTGAAAGGCAGGCGAATGCCTTTAAAATGTCTGACTTGTCAGTTGAACCAGTTCACAAGGTGGATCGCCAACACTATCGAAGTGTGTTAAAAAAGATGTGCATGCCTGTTGTGAGAGGTCCGGAGAACAGACATGACTTTGCCAGCTTTGAAGAGAAAAACAGTAATTCTTTCCTTAAATTCCATCCATTCACTCCTCCAGTAGGGCCGAATTACCCCTTATTCCCACACCGGGATGATGTGCCTTTAGTGGATCCCTGCTCAGGTTTTGTGAGTCCAGGAGCAGATGCTGACCTGCAGCCCAATGTTGGAAGAGCTATTGAATCCCTGGTGGACTACAGTGATGTGAAACCTCACCAGCGGATCCCCATCGCAGGAAAGGGAGGCCAGGCTGCCCACAGGAGGCAGATGATTCTCCTGGAGGAGACCAGCCAGAACAGAAGGTGGAACTCCAGGGCTGTGCCTGCTGCTTCTGTTAGGGCACGACTCGGAGGTAAAGCAAACTACTATTTTTATTTCTTAATCACCAAAGAAAATCCTAATGCTTAACAAATCAATACAATTAGTTTCCGAACTCCATCCCCCAAGGTCCTGAAAGAACAACCTCTGGATATTTGAACTGAATATAAAAACCACAGTAGAGCGTTTATATGTGAGTCCCTGCTGTAGCAAAGAAGTACCAGTCAGCAAATTCTAACAAGCATTCTAATGCTAAAAAAAAAAATAAATCTTTGAAGTAAATAATGTTTTAAAAAATCTGTTTAGGTAAATTGTGAAGTTACATACTGTAGTCCTAATGAGCACCTGTTTTAATGTAAACTAAAATAACAAATCATTCCAGCTTTGGGAAGTCCCCTGGATATTTCTGTGTCTTTTAGTATTCCTGACAAGTTGCAGGGCATCTAAAGACCAATTTCAGTGTCTAGTTGATCAGAGAACCGTTCTTTAGGACTGCCATCCCATGTTGGTCAAAGTACATATTACCCTCTTATTTTATATCAATGTGTTACCCATAAAGTTGGGTCTGAGTGTTTCATACTAATTACAGCGTCAAAATGGAAATTCACTCTTTTTAACGTGAAACAAAATTGGGTTGGTTGCAAATATTCAGAATTTTCATGAGAAAATTCTGGAATGAAGAAATATTTACCCAGGGCTTCTAAAGGCAGACATAATTAGCAGTAAGCAATATGGTTGAATTTGTATAAAGATTAAGCCAATTCCAATTATTTTCATAGAGAACTGCTCATTACAGCTAGAACAAAATTTTATGAGAACTCAGGCAACACACTTATAGATGGGGAGAGGCATTTCTTAGAACACAGTAAAGAAATTTAAATAAGCTTCTTTTTCCATTTTACTATACAGAGATGACACGCGCTTCATGGTTAGCTATACTTTATCCATGTTATTGTCACCATAAAGTCTCTACATGCTATAAATTCAGGCAGTGTTTTTGGTTCCTTGTTTCAGTCTCTGAACTTTGCATCTTAAATCACTTTAAGCTTACTCAGTCATATAACAGAATCCGAAAGAACCCAAGAAATTACTCCATAATTTTTTCTTTTTTTTTCACTTGCTCATCCCATATAATTTTCACTGTTATTTCTCAGTTACTGTGTTCTCTATTTCCATGTGAAATTAGACCTCAGACACCAATCAGAACTGATCAGTTTTGTGGTGTTTTTTTCTGCAAGTCTCTGGAAAAGTGAAGGGGAAAGAAGATTTGAGATATGCGATTCTATCTGACCATTAATTTTTCCAATGCAGAGAAAAGCAGACAAGGAGAGAGAAACTCTGGGAGACAGAGACACACCTGAAATGAACACAGACAAAATCTGAAACTAAATGTCATCAAGTCAGTAACTCGGGTTGCACTCCAGAAAGTGGTCCGAAATGGAGAGTAGTTCTAGAAAGCAGATAGATGCAGTCTGGTGGCTTTCTGGTGATTTTTCACTGGGTAAAGTTGAGTATTAGAGTGAGGTACTGACTCCACTGAAGCTGTTGGAAAAAGTCAAACTCAACTCAGGGACAAAACCTTGAAACAGATATAGTCCAGAATAAAATTCTTAAGGAAAGCTGTGCAAATGTTCTACCAAACCTAGTATTAATTTGCAAGTTTTCCTGTGATGCTGAGGTATTAACTACAAATATATGAATATAGATACAAAAAGGAGTTGAGTTTTAAGCTACTATTTTTAATGAGACTGCATAAACAAATTCCAGATTGCAGCTATATGATTCAGAGAACCCAGCTACCAACCCCCAGGCACGTGATGTAATGAAAGTTGCTAATCCTTCTAGATATCAGTCCCGAGACATTCCACAGCTAAGTTGTTTGGGGAAGTTGTGCTGAAAGAGAGATCAGTCAGACATTTTGCAAGTCAATTCTACAGTCACTTTCTCCACTGTGTGGGGGACGAACTGAAAAAAAATCAGACAGAAGCAGCCTTTGGGACGGATGAGCTGAAGTATATAACATCCGCAACAGACAGGAGGCTCTCTTGTGAAAAAATGTAGTGCTATGGCTTTGGCAGTCAACAGTGTTCCTTTGGACTTCCCCAGCCCTACTTCCCTTTTGCATCTACTGAGCAAAGCAAGTTTATTGAACAGTGAGGCTCTGTGATAGCAAAGCAAAGTTGAGAAGCCATTAAGATGGTTGTTTGAAGACTGGAGAATCAATCAGAGCCTACCAGAGAAGGGAGACAGCTAAAGAGCTATTCTTTGCATATTGTTGACCAGTATGGGGAAGGTGCTCAGTGCTAGAAGACAAGGTCTTCAGGAAGTTGATAATGTTTGCTGGTAGAGTCCCCTTCTCTCGCTTATATGACAACAGGATTTTGTAACCTTTTCCCTGTGGTCTCAAGTTTCTTTGCAGTGTTTAGGAGGACCTCAGAATTTGACTGTGCAGGCATATTTGTACCTGGAAACCTGGTGATGAAGCCCTCATATCCAGTTTGTAATTATTATTCATTTTTGTGTGGCTTAACACAGAGATGGGCATGGGCATTGCAGAAGGAACCAGGGTATTTGAAAAGTCTGATAAGGAACAGAGATGACTTCTTGCCCCTACATCTGTAGATACAGTTTTCTACAAAAACTAGAAAATGGGAAATACTATAAAGTTTACCTATAGACTTGATAGTAACCCTATTTAATAAGAAATAAGCAGTTAGCTCATGCTGCTGCTAGAGTAGCCATATTTGGATTTGTCCAAAAGCCCAATTAATTGAATATTCCATCCAAGACTATCGATAATTAACAAAGAATGTCATCATACTTCCTGCGCAGATTTTGCTATCGTGGTGATTTGTGGACCATGGATTCATGGTGTGTTTCTAGTTAGTGGTGATGGATTCATGTATTTGCCTTTGTTAGTATATCTGCTTGCTTTTTGAACCCATCACTTAGCTTCCAACCCTCTATTTCCATGAAATTTGTGAATATGTTAAGCAAAAAAGTCCTAAACCCTCATGTGTTACCTCTAGGTCTCTATGGGTGATCTCTATCCCTCTGGAGAATTGATCATTTACCCCTTCCTTCCTTCTCTGATCTTCCAATCATTTATTTATCTGTGTGAAGATCTTATCTTTATCCCATTGTTACTTTAAGAAGCTCTGTTGAAGAATTTTACGCAGAACTTGCTGAAATAATTGTTTTCACATTAAACACATTTCCCAATGGCCTTTGTATAGGAAGAGTTCCTTTCCTGATGCTTTGTATCCTGAAGTAAGAAGCATTTTCTCCAGAGTAATCATCACTCTGGAGAAGAAATTGTCACAGAGTAATCCAGGATTAAGCAGCACATTGAGTGTGAGGGATATCAAAGTAGGATTCCAGCCTCTCCTACCTTTCAAATAATGATAGAAAATTACTGTAGGTGATACTGGTGCAGCCCCAGTTTGTAACATAGGAACTTAGTGATACAAAACCTTTTACCTGCCTGCAGAAAGAGAAAGAACAAAGATCAGTCAGAGGCAACAAAATGTAAAGCAAAGAGCAAAAAGAAGTGCAACTTGAAAAACATCAAATTAAAAATTCAAGGACACTCATAAATAACATGCATTGCTCATAACTATTGTAAGATATAAACAAATTCAACTAAGAATGCAAAATGGCCTACAGTAGGCTCAAGGATATCTCTGCTGTTAAATAATTACCAATAACAAAATGTGTAATACTGTACTGCCTAATAAGCTAGTAGGTCATCTGGAAATAATGCATAAAAACTCAGAATAATTTTTTGAGAGCTGAGTGTCATTGAATAAAATAACTGTGGTTTCACTAAGGATTTGATTATTTATCGTCCCTACAGTTAGGTATTTCACTGTGCGTTTGTTTTCCACTTGCCCAATAGCAGAGTGATGTTTTGTTTATTCAACAACTTGTTCTGTCTCTGTAGCTTCTTTTGCTGTGCATGTCTTTCCAATATAAACTGATGGGGTTTATGCTTAATTAGTTTTGAGGAGGTGAAAGCTTTTTGTAGCTTTTTCTTTCAAAGGAGTAGAAGAGAGAGAAGTAGTAGTGTTAATAGGTTATATTTATTTTCATATATAAAGAGAATAATTAGCCAAATAATTAATCAAAATAATTTGGAAGAGTTCTCTGTAAACCCTTCAGTTGGCGTTCTTACTTCTTCTTGTGCCCACTGAAGTCAATGCTCCTAATTTTAAAATATAAGAGGTCAAAAATTGTGCAGTTTTCGAATGACAGCGAGATGCACTGAAGCGTGTGAGACTGCTGATTTTGTGAAACCTCTCTGCATATGTGTTCATGTGGCGACAGAAGAATCTCACTTTTTCCTTTGAAAACAAAGCAAAAACGTGTTGTGGCATTCATGGGTTCTGGGAAACAGCTTAGAAATGTGAATGATTACATCTTCAGTTTCTGACTCAGAATCCAAAACAGAAATTGCCCACCATCATTATCCGTGACTGAATCCTGCTTTGTCAGATTAGGAGATTATTTTAAGTAATAAACTGAAACTGACAGTATCATCAAACTTGTCATTAATTAGAAGTGACAAAGCCAAGACACTGATTTCCCAACTTGGACAAGAACAGATCATGCCGTTTTTAATCCTGTGGACTGAGAAAATCATAAAGGGCATTGAAACCTCAAGAAAGTTGATTTAAAGAAAAAATCATTGCAGCTTTATGCTAGATCTTTCCACTGAAAGCAAAAGGAGAAGTAAATGTTAGAAGATTAATCATCCCAGCTGTAGGTCAGTAGAGTCAAGATGGCAAATTACAATATACAGTGCAAGAGCAGAGGTCTCTAGAAATGCATACGTACAATTATCAAAGGAAATGTAAATTATATATGTGTCCTCCTAAGGACATTGTAGCTGACATGAGTGTTTTACACATACAACACAAGGAATATCAGTTGTAACCTTCAGCTCTTTAGTCAGTAGACCAGAGAAGGACTATTTTTGTGGAACTACCGGGACATATGTATGGATATATTTAAGCCATCTACCTCTTTACTGGAGAGGGCACTAGTACATGCATACCTACTAACTAATTACATCATCTCAGACATAAAACTTAGTGGAAGAATTACTCCAATATGAGTACAAGTTGTATATTTGCCGATGACAAAGTTTACACAAAGCTGAGGCAAAGAAGATGCAGCCACAATCTTTACTGCATGCACATTACCTGTTTAAGAGAATTCTTTCCAAAAGAATTAATTGGAGAGTGATTCAGTGTGAAAGCTCTTTAGAGGGCAAAGATCCACAAATTCTGTCAAGCTTTTCAAAAGTACCAACTTAAAGTTATAGCACACTGCACAAAAAGCTCTTTTAAAAACCAGGTCATATTATTTCAGTACCTACATATAGCATTAACATACTAAACTGAGTGTCTTTTACCGAAACCTGTGACTTTTCTTTAAACTTTGTCAGGGTAATTAGTTCTGCAAGAACTAATTTTGCATTCTACATGGTGGTTTTCAGCTTTTCGTCTTTGAACTATTTTATCCAAAGTATACCTAAAATTTCTACAAATTACTAGGAAAAGTAGCTCTGTTATGTAATATAAAGGTATTATTTCAGCTTTAGGTAGCTTAAATTCACTATGTAAAGGTTTTCATATGCATTGGAAAATTTTAGGGGTCTGTAAGTAAAAAGCAGATTAAAAACTAAGTGATGTGTTTTTGATTCTAAGTAATAGTTTCCAGTGTTCGTAGAGGGAGTGGTGTGATGGCTGTATGGCTGCCTGCCTCTTTTACTATAGTATAACAAAGCATATTTAGAAATACACCTTTCCTAAAGTCACCAAAAGCATTATGCTAGTTAATGGTGCAGCAGTTTGAACGATACTCTCATACATACGCCTTACCTTAGTTTTAGGATTGTTTTGTTGATTTTATCCTGATGCTCTAAGGAGACAAGTTGTTTCCATTTGTCTTGATTATTTATCTCTTGGTTCTCCCTTAATAACTTTAGACCCCATTGGCGAATTTCTGCCAAATATGACGGAGATGTAAACATCTCAAGGATACTTGCAGCCCTGCAAGATTTTTGAAGGTTGAAGTCTGGTGAGAGGAAAGACATAAACAAGTCTTCTCTTGAGAGATCTGAGACTAGGGCATTATAACATATTGCTATTTGGCAGCAGCTCACTTGGTTATCAGCATGTGCATACTGGCTCACCATCAGCACATATGTGACTCTACAGTAACATTAGGATATGGCCTCTTGGTGGGTAAGCCTGATTTACAGGACTTGCTCAGGAAGACTTCAAATTATTGGAATATGAAGTTGGGAGGATGAAGGAGAGAGAGAAATATCTTTAGGAAATCAGTCACCTACTGCTCATGGAATAGCTTGTTTATTGCTATCAGGGTTGGCAAAAATTATGTGACTGTGGAAATGCAATATGCATTTACTAGTTTGACTTGCATTAAGAAGCTTTTACTGTTATGTTTGCTAATTTGAATAGTTTCCTTTATACAGTTAGTACTGTACATTACAATATGTGAAGTAGACCAAACCATAGCAATGTATGTTCTGGTATTATTTATAACTTATTTTCATCTTCCATGTAATTTAATGTATTTTTGTGGAAGTTTGTAATTCAGAATAGTAACAGGTAGCTGAGCATGAGTACATTGATTTTTATGGGAAGCCATGAATTGTTTTCATCCAGTTTAAAACAATAAGGATTGCTGCGACCGATTAACACAATAGGAAGCCCTTTCTTTCAGATTGGAGGACTCCAGTGAAAGGTGTTCCAGCTCTACCTGACCAAAACTGTATTTTTGCATTTTATATGGATCCCATTATCAAGGCAAGTGTCTGGTACTCTTCTTGTAATGACAGAAAACATACTTAAACCATTTTGTTTCTAGTCTGCTTTCCATTTACGGTAGTGTAGTGAAATAAGACTTTTTCATTTCTTCATCCAATTACATTGAAATAAGGGCTATATTTCAGGTGGCTGTGTGTTAGCATGACCAGGTTTTAATGGTGGCCATCACTCCAATAATTTTTACTTTTTTGTACAATTTTTTTTGTACCATTAGTCTGATTAAGGCATTTAGACTGTAATGTGAGACTGATATGTGTAACTGGAGATAGAGAGAAAATGCCAGAAGGTACAGAAGATACCAAAACCTCGTACTTGGCATAAATCCTCTTATATAAACTTAGGCACTGCCTTATTCCATAGTGCAACTAAGTCTTCCCCATACTGAAAATGTATCTTTCATCCTCTTACACTGATGAGAGTATTCATAGTCCTTAAAGTGTTGCACATGCTATTCTTAGTTAGAATATTAGAATAGAATAGACTTATTTCAGTTGGAAGGGACCTGCAACAATCATCTAGTCCAAAAGGCATGTCCAAATGCCTTTTAAATACTGACAGGCCTGGGGCATCGACCAACTCTCTAGGAAGCCTGTTTCAGTGTGTGACCACTCTCTTGGTATAGGAATGCTTCCTAATGGAAGCAGTCCTAATGGAACTTCCCAGATGCAGCTTTGAACCATTCCCACACATCCTATCCCTGGATGTCAGGGAGAAGAGATCAGCACCTCCAGCTCCGTTTCCACTCCTGAGGAAGCAATGAGGTTACTTCTCAGCCTTCTTTTCTCCAAACTAGACAAGCCCAAAGTCCTTAGCCACAGGACATTCCTTCCAGCCCTTTCACCAGCTTTGTTGCTCTCCTCTGGACACATTCAAGTCGCTTCACATCCTTCTTAAATTGTGGGGCCCAGAACTGCACACAGAACTTAAAGTGAGGCTGCACCAACACTGAATACAGTAGGATAATCGCCTCTCTTGACTGGCTGGTTGTGCTGTGTTTGGTGCACCCCAGGATGCAGTTTGCCCTTGTGGCTGCCAGGACTCACAGTGACTCCTGTTGAGCCTGCTGGTGACCAGCATCCTCAGATCCCTTTCTGCAGGGCTGCTCTCCAGTCGCTCCTCTCCCAGTTTATAGTTGTGCCCAGCATTACTGCATCCTGGTTGCAGGATGAGGCATTTCGACTTCTTAAATTTCATTCAGTTAATCATAGCTCACTGATTAACGGGATGAAATGCTCCAATCTATCGAGATCCCTCTGTAAGGCCTTTTGTCCCTCAAGAGAGTCAACAGCACCTTAGCAAACTTGCTAACGGTGGATTCAACTCCTGCACCCAGATTGTTGATAAATGCGCCGAACAGAACTGGCCCTAGAATTGAACCCTGAGGAACACAATTTGTAGCAATGGGCATCATGAAAATACATCAGGCATATGTGAGGGACTGCAAAACGCGCTTGCTATGCCACTTTATAAATAATACAACAAATGGAAGGCTACTTTCCTGAGGAGTAGGGAGGCAAAGACATTCTATTAGTTTTTAAACTTGTACTCACTACATTAAATTTTCCTTCCTGACTAAAACTCAGATCCATTCTTGATCTCCAGTGCTGGCTGGTGAAGTATGGGAATGAAATTACATGTTTCAAGTTTTAATGCAAGAGAAGATAGTAAACCAGGAAAATGCAAGTGCATACAGTTCACTCTTTAAGCAAGAAATCATAGTATCATATATGTTGATAGCATTGCTTTCTGCCATGTTTTTGATTTCTCTTAGGAATCAAGGTGGAGAGAAAAAAAAGCTAAGGACTATTTCTACAAGTCAAATACTCAAAGGTGAGACACGATTTCTTTTGAAAACAGTTTTTGCCTGTGCTTTGCTTCATTTTTTCAGTTTCTTTTTGCTACTGTGCACCTTTAGGTAACAGTAGACATATAAGACTACAAACAGTTTTTCTGTCACTCAAAATTCTGGTGTTTTAACAGAATTCAGAATGGGATTCATCTCATGAACTTTAGTTACCTAAAAGCTTGCGTCCAATGTCTGCCTTTCATCTCCACTTCCTCTATAGGCAGTGAAGAGAAACTGGAGTTTCCAAAAGGGCATTCTGTACATCTGTCTTCAACGCCTGTCACAGGCATGATATGACTGGTGTCTAATCTCTATTTATGTCTCGTCTCACTTAACTGATTATTCAAATTTAGAAAAAATAAATCCCATCATCACTGTAAGCTTCTTGGAAGATAAACTACCTCTTTCAATTAGTGAGTGAGAAAGTTTTAAAGATAAGCCTGTGAAACTGTACCATAACTACTTGTACCCCAACAAGCAACATATTCCAGGCTTATTATTTTCCTTTAAATTAGAAATATAGACCTTTGTTATTTTCTACATCTTTCTTTGTCGCATAATTTCTTATTGTGTAGCTACCAATGTCATTCACTGATGATTATTGGGAACATTTTTATCTTTTTTTATTGTTATTCTAGAGCTTATGAAGAAGTTCCTTGGGATAATATATTACCCTCCAAAATCCAGCCTCCAGAATCAACAGTGGAAGTATTGCCTGATGCTGTTTCCCACCGTTTTACAGAAAGGAGATACAATCCTGAACCTGAAATAAGCCAAGTCAGTGAACAATTACTTGCTTACAGGTTTTAGGTTTTGCTAATGAAATGTAGCCTAAATTTTGTGTAGGCCTTACACATAAACCCACAGCAATGTTTTCAAGTAAAAACAGTCTCAAGTGTGCATTTAAGGTCATCAGCACACTCCAGTAATTACCTCAAATTATTTTGTATTTTTCCCTCCCTCTCCCCTGTCAATTGGTACAGAAAAAGATATGTGTGCACAGTACCAAAGGAGAGGACAAGGATATTGATGAAAAATTTGTTGATAGGAATGATGCTGTAGCATAACAAATCTCACGTTAAGTTAGTTTAGTTGTGATTATTAATTGTAATAATTCTTATTTTTGCTAAACTAAACTTCAGTCCTGTAATTGGTTCTGAATTCTGCATGAAAAACTATTAAGCCAAATAAATAAGGTAATGTTGCATTACAAGAAGCATCTAATTACAATTTTAGGTTATTGGAGTCCTCTGGGACAGATTTCAAACAAGATCTTTTCCATCTCCAGAGAGACCTGTTAATTTGTAAGTTTCATTTTTTTTGTGAATATTGGGGTCCTCTGAACACTTCCTTTATGAAGGCTGCATACAGTTATTTCAGAAGACTAAATTCCACAGCATTCTCTAACTAGAGATGTTGAGATAGCCAGTCAATAACTATATCAGAAGTATACTCTAACATGCTTCTCCTGTGAGCATTAAATATAAAAAGCATGTTAGAAGAAATCTGTAAATGAGTGATTGTCATGACTTCATACATCTGATGTTTTCATGAAGATATAACATTTATGAAAACACATGGGTAGTCAATATATATTTACAAACTCAAGGTTTTATCTGCTGTCTGTAGAATCAAAACCAGTCACCTGTGCATTCTTGTCTTTTCATCACTCTGTATTTCACTTACTCTGTTCTGTCTCAGAGCAGACCATTTTAGATGAGCCAAGTAAAGGGTGACAGGAGATTCAGAAGGGCTCAGATAAGAGCCGAGATGGGGAAGGAAAGGTTGGTCAAAGCAAGATAGGGAAACTAGAACTTGCATCCTTTCCAGGCCATGAGCTAGCAGGTTTGCTGGGCCAAACTCAATGGACAGGTCTGCTACTAGGCACAGTCAGGCATACAATGGGAGAGACAGGTAGCTCTGCAGGGTGGAAGGGAGATAGAAAACACTGTCATCGGGGTTTCTTCAATATTTCTCTTTCAAAGGAATGTAGACATGGATAGTGAAAGCAGCTTGCAGGGACAGACCAAGGGAAAAATTCAGATCTGATATTAAATTTTCCCATGGTCTCAAGAGTTGAATGAAAGAACTGGTACAAGTAGAGAAGTACATTTTTGAAGAAAACTTGCTTATGCTATTCTAGGGAATTGACTGAGGTCCCAGTATCTGATGATGAAGATTAAAAGACAAGATTCTGTCTGCTGAACAGGGTCATTTAGCATATATGGCAACCTAATCATTTACCACGGTCTTTTACCAAATTCAACTGAACATTGCATCATTCCAAGACAAAAACTTCAACTTGTCACTACCTCTCTTTTGGGACCTCATAAATATTCTATCAGAATATTCTGTCTAGCGAAAAAAAAAGTGATTGATCTGTTTTGTCTTTAACAGTGTAAGCCAAAGCTATCGAACCTGTCATATCCCTTTGTATACGTAAGTACAATGTTCCTGGATTGTTTCTACTTTCTACATTTTTGATTAAGCCCAAGAAATCCGTCTCTCATTTTCTGAAGCAAGAGTTGTAGATGGACTATGTTATCTAATCTCATGGTGTTTTCTGGTGCCAAGGGAGAGTGTGCTGAGTCTCCTCTGCTTGTGGGTGACTCCAGCCTTTACCTGTAAGATAGAAATCAGGATCCAGTATGTCCTCTTTGGAAGAATATCCCAGACTGTTCATGGGCATAGCCAAAAGGACAACAGATGACATGCTTCTATCTTATTTCCATTCTCCCAAGCCTCCTCTCTGCACATATGTACGAGAGCTATCATTTGTTATGTGCTGCAAGTTCAGCAGATGATTGTTTTCATCTTGGGACATGCCAAGCACACAGGGCAGTTCATCTCCATGTTTTTTCTTGTGGACCGTTTTAATAAATAACTAGAATTTTGGACCATGTAGTATATGGTTCAGCTGCCTCCACCAGCTGTTTTATGAATAATGTATATATCTGTGATTTCCTTTCTTTCCAAACAGTGGCTGTGTTGGTGCAGTAAATTTTGAAGACATTGATAATGCTGATGTAGACTTAATCCAGCTTAACCACGTGAGAACTTCAAAGCCTCGCTACACAAGCACTGCACAGTATGTTAGCTCTTGTTAGCATGATTTTGATGCTGTGCCTTGATTTTATGTTACTTGGGAAGGGGGAACAGTTAGAGATCTGATCTTGGGCCAAAAGAATGAAAAAAATTGTGAGGGACACTCCTTATTCTTTTTAATAACTTGAGTGAAGTCTGTTAACACAGGAAGCACAGTGGGCTTTCAGATTTAAGGTTGAACTTGAGGAGTTCTTTTTAATAACTGAGTCAGTAGTAAATGGCCTACAGTGGTAACTTCCTACAGTGGTCAGTGTAGGTCTGTATACATCTAAGGGACCATATACAAAAGTAATCACACAGAATCACACAGAATTGTAGTGGTTGGAAGGGACCTCAGAGATCATCGAGTCCAACCACAAAAAAAAAAAAAAAAAACCCAAAAAAAAAACCAACAACACACAACAACACCAGCTCCCACCACCTAAACACACAACAACAACCTCCAAACCAAAAAACCATCACCCCCCCACACAACACCCCACCACAAACCAGGAATCAAGGAAGCTTATAAAAATGAGCAGAGAGATGTCTACTGAGATGATGATGTAACAGATTTTATCCATCTACTTGTGTTATGGTAAGCTGAAATGCAGTCTGTTTTGGCTAAGTATGAATTTGTCATAGAAAATCAGGGCCTGATTCTTCATTGTATCACATTAGTGTTATACTTTCAGGGAAATTATGCTCCTAACACCATGCATCATGCTTTTCAACCAGAAATGTACATTAGGGATTTTTTCCATCCAGGAGTTCTGATGTGGCCCAAGTGGCCCTGCCATCCATCTAGTACTGAATGGTCATAACGGACTGACAGTAATTGCCTGTCATACCAAAAGCTACGTTTAGTGTTGCCCTTCCTGGGAAGTAAAAGCTGCCTGTGGTAACACCAGTGCAATATACTGTCTTGGTACAGTGAGCGCTTCACAGTCAGCTGGCTCTGACCTAGGCTGGGATGGAAAACACAGTATGCTTTCTCTCCTGCTGTTAACCTTGCTAGACTAGTTGCACAACCAAGTTTTAAGAACTCAGCAGGCACCTTTCCATTTTTCTCGATTCAGAAAGGTTGCATGTGAAGCTTATCAGAGAACATCTGCTAGATCATACCCTGAAGAACCTGACTTGTGATTCCTAAAGATGCTGAGACTACCTAACACAGGCATTCCTGCAAATGCCCAGCAACGGGAAATATATTTGTATTACATTCAAGGCTCAAGTGGGGAGGACATGGAAGAGAAGATTTTGAGCTTAGCCTGCACCAGGAATTTCTGCTGATGCCATTCTGAATAGAGTCCTTACTTCCAAAAAAGCTATGCTTATTTTCAGACTATGCCATAACTTTCATATTTCAAATGTTTCCAGTTCTTTAGGTCTGTTGGGTAGAAGTGCGTGTGTCATGGGTAGTATGGTAGATGGGTAGTAGGACTTGAATATAACCATGTTAAAAATGTGTGATTTTTAACTTTAGCCACTAGATGGCCTTTGAGTTTGCAAAAGCTCCCTGAATGTCATTATGAACAGCTTCTTGCTCGTCACAAACTTTGAAATCCAAAGTTTCTCATTTTAAGCCTTTCCTAAAATTGTCTTTAGTACCTTGAGCTGGTATTAAGCACTTATTTGCAAACTTTTGAGAAAGCTAAATGGTAAAAGTAACAACATAATGGTAAGAACTAAAAACAATACAACAGACGAGGAAAGAGACTGTTCTTTTTACTTAATCAGATTTTCTCTTTGCATAGGGCTTTCCTTTCTGTCCTTTCAGTGGTCTTGCACAGTCCACATTTGTGAGGAAACTGCATAAGGGGTATTTCATTGTGGGAAGCAGAGGGAGAGAAGCTGTAAAAATATGGCCCTCTCTGTTCTGAAGAAAAGGCATAATGTTGGGTCTTACATATGTCAGAGTATGTGCTAAACATTCCTAGTTTCTGTGAGCTGCCTTGGAAGTAGCTGGAATTTCTGAGCATCACCTTCGGTCTGTTTGGTTTTGTTCCTCACCTCAGTTTCAGGGAGAATGCATATCCTTTTGCAATGTATCACATGCTGTCACACTTGTGGGGAGCTGCACATCATTCTTCACGCAGTCTCACTCATTAAAGCAGTAGGTACACAGGCAAAGTAACATGCTAAGCATTGCAAGATGGTCAAATTTGACCCATATTACTGGAACCAAACCTATTAATACCGGCCTTTTATGTACATAAGGCTCCATTCTGATTGTTTTGTCTCACCTCCTGCACAAGTCATCTGATTTCTCACAGCCTTCTCCTGACTTCTAACTTTTGCTTGAATTAGAACATAAAATGGTATAGAATGATTATTGAGAAATGTGCTTTAAAATTACAGCACACATAGCATACAGAATAGTGCTGAACAGAGATTTCTTAGTTTGTAGGGAAGTTAGCAGGGCTATTAACCCTTAATTCTGCCATGTCATACTGCTGTTGCTGTAGAGCTTGAAGAGTAGAAGCTGATGGGTACACTGTGCTGCAAACAGACAAGATCTCTTGTCTGGAGTTATGTATTTGCTATGTATGGTATGATGGTGGATTTATAAGTTTGAGCAACAGGTTCTGTATTATCTTCTCCAGTATTCTCCATGTCATTTTGCTGTTTTTTTGGGGAATGAGGCTATGGATTTAATTGATTTCCGGCAACCAGGAGACCAAGATCTCAGACACCTAAAAGATTCTGACATCTCAAAGCTGTGAAAAGCTCACTTCCACCTGAAAAATTGTATTAAGTTCTTCATAAAGTATATTTATTCTCTACCTATGATTGTCAGACATCAAGGTTGCTATGATTTTAAGCAGAAGGAAGAAGAAAGTCAGAAAAAAGACATAAAAGTGATCCCTATACATTTCACTTTGTGCGTTTGCCAGTAGTTCTGGAAAGATGTTTAAAGGTAGTAAGACTGCTAGACTCCCACCAAAATCCTTGAGAAGTTAGATATATGGTTTGGATGTAGAAGCCAAAATAAGCTTTGTAAGTCTGTAAAATGTAGAAATCTCTTTGTCAATAGTCACTTTCACTCTTTCATGGACTAGCAGTTGCACTTCCTGCCTCTAGCGCTTGGGCAAGAGCATTGGCACTCGGGCGTTACTCCAGAGTGAGTCTTTCCCAGACCGAGCAAGAAAGTGGTTGCCATTCAAATTATTAGCAAAGCTGAAAGTAGCTAAGAGTCATCTGTCATGTAATGTTGCAGAGACAAACAGGAAGAGTGGTGAACCTGGGCATGTTTTGTATGTTACCATTGCGCCCACCCTCTCTTCCTTTTGGCAGAACAGGAAACCGTCTTCTGTTTTTCTTCTTTTTTTCTTAAGGAATTAAGACTTATGACGCAGTTAAGCCTAAATGCCCCTAGGATAAGATCAGTGTTGTGAAAAGCTGCCGTGCATATTCCTAGCACTGTCGATAACACTCTGAAGTCCTTACTGTGCAATTCGGAAGTTTTACAGATGGGAATCCAGGTGCGGTGTGTTTAAGTTGTTTGCCAAATCCATTGGGAATCTGTAGCACAGTTAGGAATGAACCTTCATGTGTCCTGAGCCCTAGCCTGTGCCTTTGTTGGTTTGGGGGTTTTTTGCCAAACTCTGAGCTTTAAGCTATTGAAATGCTTTGTTGAACCTTGATTTTTAAAAATAGTAATTAGCACAAAATGGTGGCCACAGTTCTTAAAAGTTAGGCTGAGACACAAGTGAAGACTTGGGAATATAGGTCATTTTTTATCGTTTTTCTCTGTGGTTCAGGCATGGAATAGCTGTGAGAGCCTTCACCACATGTAAAAAGCCATGTCATAAGTGTTGTGCTAAATTTATGAATCTGAACTTATTGATCAAAACTATATTTGTGATCTGGTGGCAGTCTAAGATGATCAGCAGGCATTTCTGTAAGGAAGCTGTGGAAGTGCTTTTCTTAGTTTAGACTCTTGATCTTCACATATGACCAAAGATCCTGGATGGTAATTCAGTTCCTCTCATTCTCTTCTATGCTTTCATTAAAGCCTGTCTTGGGGGAAAGGAATCAATTACATCATCTGTTGAGGTCTGTTCCAGCCCTGGAATGTAGCATCATTCTTAATATCCTTGGTTTGTGTATGCAGTCCTGAACTTGCTTTATGATGAACTAGTTCTTCTTCTTCACCCTTGATAATTTTGCAATGTATACGTAAAAGCTGGAGTCTTCTATCATTTCTTTGCCAAGGGCAACATACAAATCTTTTTTTAAAAAAGAGCCAGTCAAAAAATTAAGTTGTTGTGGAAGAGCACTCTGAAAATCTCTTTCTAATGCAGTTGTTTTTCACCAACAGATCTCCAAAAATCTGTAAAACTTATCATGACCTTGTTTTATAGCTCAGTGCTCCGTCGAGTGAATTGCATTGTCAAAGCACAGGAGTTGTAGGACTGAATCTCATCTTTTTAGGCCACTAACTAGTGAGGTTCCACATTGAGTGCTTTAATACTTTTTTGCATTTTGATTGTATGTTGCTTTTGTAATTTTGTTAGGTATATTGGACAACAACTGTCCAGTGAGTCAAGTGGCTTTTGTTCTATTTTAAAATTTACTAATTTTTTGTGTATAGTTCCTTTTTCTTGTGTTTTTCTTTCCCCCCCTACTTTGTCTACTTGTCTGTCTGCTTTATACTTTTTCTTGTATTTGCTTACTTTTCTTTCAGATCCATGAAGTGTAAATTCCATTGGAATCAGTGAGGTTAAGTTATCTGTTTAACAAGATTTCCTGAACAGGGATAGAATTGAGTATCTGTTCATATATTTTGCAGAACTGAGACCTCTGATTTCCTTTAGAAGACTTTGGACTCTGAATTGATTATGTCTATTTCCCGTGGTTTTTTTTTCTTTGTTTCTCACTGATTTGATTGATCATTGTGTGCTTATAATATTTATTTATTTGTAGAAGATGAATACTGCATTTGGTTTTATATGTCATATAGCTAACCGTATACTAGATAGGGAAGCAACAAAGAGCTAA